TTTATATAGAGGATGATTTGTTAAATTTATCTTATTTGAGTTTTAATAGTTTAATTTTATTTGCGTCTTGTTTATTTATCTCCAATCTCTCTACTATGTATACATGTACATGTTACCTCCATACCATCAAGGCTAGATAAGTTATTACTTATTCTGAATTCAGCTTGACACACTTTAAAGTATGCTTAGTATTTCAAGTATAGGTGTTAGAGATAAGGTGAATATAGTTAAATGTTTGAAAATGTTTGATTTTATGCTTCAGCTCAACCTTACTTCATTTTTGGTTTTCATGATTAGTTTTCAAGGATTTTTCAATATGCCTGTATACCTAATATTTTGTTCAGCCTTCAAAAAACATAATTTATCAATTAATACTAAGAAATCCTATCCCAAGTTTACACATTAGAATTCTGTTTTAATATTTTTTTATTTTTTATTTAGATCATGGTATTCAGTCTTGAACTCGCAACATTTGAAATATCTGATAATATACAAAGATTGTCTTAAAACAAAACTTCAGACAATTTCTTTATGAATGGAAAAAGATAAAATTAATTGACCAATAAAATACAAATAAATTCCCGCAGAATGAAAATGCTTACTTTTTGAGTAATGGTACAGGAACTTGCTTGTGTACACTGAATGAGTGGATTGACATTTTCACTCAATATTGAAAACTGAATTAGATTTCTCTATTATTTTATAATAATTGAAGATAGAAGCTACGCCTCTACCTCCTTTGCTGACAGGCTGATCAGTTATACTGGAATGCCATGATTAAAAGTATACAACATACAGAAACAACACAACTAGCTATCTTGGTCTAAAGGTCACTGACTTAACACACGAGACCAGTGACAATGCTGTTGATCACTTTAACAGCTCCAGGTGTGTACTGCCTGTTGGTCCAAAATATTGACTTCTTTACAAATCAGATATACAGAAAAATCGTAAAAACTAGTGATCTGACGGTGTCAGCACTCCAAATCATAGAAAGGTTTCTACACGAAATAAAGTTTTAATTAATTATTGGTATACACAACAAGACACAATGTTACCTTCTACCACTGAATCCATCAACATAAATAAAATCATTTCACTAACATTAATAAATACATTATAACATAAACAAATGATAACTGCTACTTTAAATTGCTGGAAGTTCATGCGGGGTATATGAGGAAGAAAAACTTCTTTGGCCTGAAAAAGTAATTGAGTGCAGAAGAAAACTTACAATACACTCAAATTCAATATTTTGGAAGAAAATATATTTAAAAGTACAACTAAGAAAGAATGAAATACTTATTACAGCTAAATAAAAATCATCTTTATGTTTGTTTAGAGACAGTTTTTTCTATCACAACAATGATTTTGCTAATTAGTGTTAGACAGGAGCCTCAGAAAAAGCACTTAGCATTTCCATTCAATTACTCAATTTAAGAGTTGTTCTTAGAAGTTCTTCACAGATCTCAATAGTCCAAGATTTTATGTCAATTTAAGTACTAAACTAACTGCACTCCTAACTTTTCATCAGAGGCATCTTTGATCATTTTTAAATTCATCCAAGCAGATCTATTTAGATTTGCAGGATAGTTCCATAAAAAAATTCTGAGAACATGTCTCAATAATCAAATTTATAAAAATTTATAGAATTTCTATATAGAAAGGTGTATTTTCACTGGAATACAAGTAATTTACAGTAGCATTAATAATATCCTGACATATACATAGGTACATAATTGTTGAAAGTCAGGGTAAAAACAATGTTATCTGCTCAAATGGCAGGATACACGATAACAGCTCTACAAACTGAAAACAAAAACTTATTTAAATATCATACAATGTAAACCACAATAAATATTAACCAATACCCTTGTGTGGTTTAGCAATAAACAATAAGAACTGATCTACCATGTCCCTGACAATGACTAAATGTACAGTGTTATGTACAACAAAATTAATATACAAACCAGTAATTATAGACAAAAATAGAAAAACGCAACCACAATGATTCTATTGTTTCATTCAAAATACCTATAATTTTCTGTACATCTCAAATTAGAGAATCTTTTTTATACAAAAGTGTTCAGGCTTATTCTAAATCCTCATATAACCCAATATACTGAGAAGATACCAAAAGAAAATAAGTCTCTAAAGACTTTATCCCCTTCAAATGTTATTTATCTACATGAAAGAAACATTTTATTTCAGTGGATTAGAAAGTGACACAGATTGAAGTGTTATCATGCATTAAGTGAGAACACTGCAGCTCAACTCAAAATCAAACAATGAAAACAAAAAAACTAACCTTTTTATTCTGTCTACAAGCAATCTGATTAAAATACAGATATTTTCATAAGTTTATAATGTATAATATAATAGTACAATGAAAACTTCTTTACTTTAATCAGATACATCTTTAAGCATAGGAAGTTTATGTATAGCCTAAAAAATAATTTCAAAAAGACACTTTCCTTTAAACAGAAAATCTGATCAATTTCATGATTTATACAGATACAGAAACTTAACAATAATGAAGAAACAATGATACACCAACATATATAAAAAATGTACATTTAAAAATGAATACATTCACAAAAAGATATTTTCATTTCATTCATAATAATAAGGAATTCATTGATGTTGGCAACGAAATTATACATACGAATATATATACTGTTTGACAACATACGGAGAAATACTGATTGAGTGGTGGGTTGTTAGAGTTATAATAAATACAGATGCTGACATATGTTACATAAACGTAGTGCAAAGTAAGATGTAGGTCAGTAACCATGTACATCGAGTTGAATGGGAATTAGTACATATATGTTAATGAATTCAACCTAACTGTACAAAATCAGAGTCTGTTTACGGGAAACTGAAACAAATGAAGACAGTTCAAGTGCCTTCCAAAATTAACAAAATGAAATACAATGTATTAAAATTTTTGCTGAAATTGTTGTATTTAAAACAACGTTCATTCTAATTCATGGAAAACTTGCACTGCTTTGCAGGCTGGTATACAATAAGTCTGGTACAACTTACAGCCGGACAATACAAGCATGTACATTGTATGAACATTCTATACCATATATGATACTTGGGGTAATCATGCTAAATTAAACACAACATTAAGTTTTAAACCTTTTAAGTGACTGAAAAAAAGTGCTGCAACTTGAATAACTTCTGACTAGTCGTTAATGGGTATACGTGTATAAGACACAAGAAAATGAGTTTTTTTCAGTGCTTGTCATGAATTGGGCAGCTGGTTCTATAAAGAAGAGAAAATAGCTTCTCTACTTTAAAAAGTGATCCAATTGCTTAGAAACCAGAATAAATCCAGCGTTTTTTTAAGGTAAAATTGGATCACTGTAAAACTTAAAGAACGTACAGCAATTAAGTACCACGACCTTGCTAGGACATTTTGACAGTTGTGAAGGGGAAAAAATGTACATACATAGAACCTGAATGTCGTTCCTGAAAGAGGGCAAACCAGAAATTGCACAAACAAGGACTCTCCCAAGACTTCATTGTTAGTCTGAACAATTACTTATCTATACTAAAGTCTGAATATTTCTCTACTTGAAAAAATATCAATTCAAATACCCAATGCCGACATTGTAGTTCTGGAACCCTTTCTTTCCCAACAGACTGCAATGTTGAATGTGGGATTAAGTTGAGGTAAAAATAAACTGACTTAATTGTTTTTGAACACATTACTGGAAGATGTGAGAATGAGAAAAGCAATGAAGAAGACTAAACTAAGGGCATACATAATCAGGTACACAGAGATTGCATAGTATATATATAGGGCTGATGAGTGTAGCAATGCTGTACATGGAATGATCTGTGTAGTTCTGTGAGACTGCTTGTCAGGGGCAATTCAATCATATGTTATAGTCAAATATTCCCTATCATCAAGACAAGATGTTGTGTTGGCTGTACATTTCAATGTTAAACATTGAATATCATTAATCAAAATTGGATGTAGTCTTGATGTTGATGCTTGAAAGGGGTTTGGAAAAAAACACATATACCTGATAAAACTAGAACTCAATACCCCTATTAATATTTAAGGTACAGATTGTTGTACTTGAACAGCCTCAGAATTTGATTATAATTAGATTGTAAATCTCGCGTTTCAAGCACTATATATGGAAAAATAAAAAAATAAAATCCCCACAAACAACTTTGTTTCTAAAAATTGATCATATGAAGGGTCAGATAATCTGAACAAGTCAACGTTTTAATGTTTGGCAGAATGATCAGATCATAATAACACCATAAAGATTGTTTTTTATATCAAACTTTGATCAAGAGGTATCATAATACATAAGTTCAGTATTAACTATCAACCTCAACACTATGAGTATTTCAATGTGCATAAAAATATAGTTTTATTTTTAATTTAACCTAAATATTTTTGTTCATGAAAATAATTTCATTGTCTATCTTAAAGAGTAGAAACTATCTACAGTTGTTCTGCACTAGTGAGCACAACGGATGACTGACATCATCAATTGCCAATATTTTTGTTTCCTCCTACTTATAAGTTTCCTCCCCTCCCATAACTAAGCATTTGATCATTTTGATTTTTAGTTGTTCTCTCAGCACCATGATATGTGGCCTGCATCCATGCCCCCCCCCCCTCCCCCTAAAAAATAAGGTTTTCCTTACCATTCACAACAGTTTGTAGCTCTCATAAAATAATATTCACCAACATAACTGATGAGACTGACTTCCTTATTTCTCATTCATCAGGTATGCAAACTTTCTCTTTGAAACATCTCCAGAACCTACTACAGCTAATCTGCCAAACATCCCTTTTGGAACACCTCCTGAGTTTACCTAAATGATCTAACATTCCTCATTGATTATGCAACAGTCCTTTTGGAACATCTCCCAAATTTACCCAAACTTATCAGGCAATGTGTTCTTTTTGGAACATCTCTCAACTAAACTCTTAACCGATCAGGCAAATATTTATTTTTGAAAATCTCCAAGGTTTACCCTAACAAATCAGACATGGTGTTCTTTTTGGAACATCCCTCAATTTTACTCTAACTGATCAGGCAAATATTTCTTTTTGGAAAAGGTTTACCCTAACTGATCAGGTAAGTGCTACTTTTGGAACATCTCAGAGGTTTACCCTGAAAATCAGGAAAACATTCCTTTTCCAACAGCTGAGTATATCCTCAACTGATCAGGTACCGCGGTAAGCATTTCTTTTGGAGTATCTTCTGACTTAATCCCAACTGATATTCATGTACAATATAATCGTTTATCACCGAATAGCACCATTCATAACCTTTTCACCCTTTTTTATTATTTGCATCCATTCTGAATATATCTTAGGAAATAGTCATGCCACCAAACCAATTCTGATGTAGTTCATACTTCTTCACTGTACTTAAATAAAGAGGCAGGGACAATGTAGTATTAATGAATCACCAGCTCACCATAGACTTACGTGTACCCTGAACCCAACACCAATATCAGTCTATACCTCGACATCAATAGGACAAAGTTGGTGTCCATATTGTATACAACACTTACAGTTTAATTTATGAATGCTCTATCAAATTGATATTGAATCTTAGCAATTCTTTATCTATGATACTTTTGTATTACAGTATTAATGTATAAATACGGAGGATTTGGAAGATCTTTCCTTTTTCAACTAAAAACTACTACTTTTTATAAAGTTTTAATGCTGTTAGAGATATAGCTGGGTCAGAAAGGGATTAGTCCTGATGGCCCCAGTTGTAGTTAACATGGCCGTGTGAATTATACATTGTATATGGACTGTCCCTATGGATTGAGCTGTAGTTTATGTGATGGTAGGAATAACCAGCATGTGAGAGCGTATAAACTGTCCCTATTTGGTCCGATTTATGTGGACGTGTGAAGTAAGTCCCAATTATATGACAATGGATTACAAGGGAGTAAAAGTGTCAGAATACTGAAATCAATAGTCAGAATACTGACATCAAGGTCTTTTAGGCTGATAATATCCAGTGCCTTTTGGAAGAAATTTTCTATTTTGTTCTGTTTTACTCGCATAATTAATTTATATACATTCAAATATGTGTTCTTTTTGTATTACCATTTTTCAATACTTAAAGGATTTATTATTTCTGGAGGTTATATGAGTGCAAAATATTAACATATGACTTTGATGTATAATTAGTGTGAATTATCCATTAATGTAAATTACCCCAGATGAAACGAATATGGCTAGTAGCTATATAGTTTTACTGAAGGATTAGGGACCGCAAAAGAGAATTCAAACTCTAAAATCTAAGTGATATATTGAGCATCAAAGACAAAAGGATTCTCTTTTCAGGCAAGTCTTGTGGCATCACAAGAAACCAAGCAACCACAAAAAGTAGTTGACATTGGAATTTTTTCTTCAAGCAAACTGCCACCACACCAAATTGTCCTCAGTCTATGCAAAAGGTCAGCCACATTCTAGGTTCCAGCTTATATAAAATGTTTAGTAAGAAAACTACTGCCAGCAGTGAAATTGGTGACTTCCATAGCTAAGAAAGGTACAGCATTAGAATGTACAAGTAGACTGGTCCATTATCACAGGCAGACCAGCATCAGTCGTCTGTGTGGTCCTGAAATATCAGTTTCACATAGCCGGGGTCGGCATGAAGGGGCGTTGCACAGAAGGGACACACAGCCTGGAAACCTTGACAACCATGGGGAACAGGAACCAGGGACCAGTATCTGCAAGTTCAAGTTAAATCACTGAGTAACCTTCAAAGGGACACTCTGTTAAAGTTAATCCTTATACAGGTAAATAATATCCTCCAAATCAACATTAAGTGAAACATTACCAATGAGGAATTAAGTACAATTCATATATCTAAACAAATTGAGTCATTGAGTGTCAATGCATGGCAATGAAAGATGAAACATCATTGTAAAGTGTCCAAAACAGTTATAATACCTGCATAGGAAGACAGGCTTTTAAAGCTTTTAACAAAAAAAGATTAACATTATACAACACAGTGATGGTGACTATTAAGAGGGTTTGTCTACCATAAACAATACTTCAAGACACAAATGTTAATCAGCCAAATATAAATAGCAGTCCTTGAAGCATTTCAGAATTTATTAGTATGAAAATATATTTGGGATATATGTATTATTATATATAGGAATAGATCCATAACAAAAATATGAGTTGAAGTATTGACATTTTTATAGATCTATTTCAATGCACGTGTCTTACCTCACAGTGGCTTCTGAAGCTATATGTCCACATGGGTTAAAACAGTGGGTTGGGGGCTCGGAGTCAACATACACGCTCAGCTCACAGCCCATCTTCAACTTTACAAATGGACCATCCTGAAATAATTAAAACATTTAAAAGAATTGTCTGTGCCGTCTAATGCATTTAAACAGCGTGCAATACATATAATGCAAAGCGTAACCTGTTTATTCCACCCCCCACCCCCCACACCCCCACANCTATGTTAGGTGGGCATACATGGTATGCTTATTGCCCATTGATATTTCTGATGATTGCTATCTAAATGAAGTTCATTACTACAACTCAAACACATTTTTCTGTTGTTACCTTTATACAAAGAGGACAGGTGCGACTGTCATTTTCCTTCTGTCCCCACTGGTGTTGGCCGTGGACATGGCCACACGAGAGGTACACGTACGGCTGTTTGTCTGACAGCTCCAGTGTACCTTTACTGGGCAACACTAGGGTCATCAGGCCCACTGGACACTGAGGACGACCAGCATTTATTTCCTCAACCAGGGTTTGAAATTCATGTTCACTCTGTAAAAGAAGAAAAACACATCTTGACTCAAACTCCTGTTCACTTTGAAACAAGATATATGAAGCTGTTTTTCAACTTATGCTCACCTTGTAAAAGAAGGAAAAATAAACTGAAACACACTGATGTTTATTATGCAAATAAAGCTCATGTACACTTTCTAAGTCTGTAAAAAGATACATGTAGGTACTAAAACTCAAGTTAAAATTTTAAAGGAAAAAGCGTTTCAAAATTGTATTTATTCTGTAAAGTCAGATCACTGTTCTCCGATTTATTCTGAAAGGGGAGAAAACTGGACACTGATTCAAAAGTCATGTTAACTATGAAAAGGAAGAAAACTGCTACAATTCAAAAGCATGCCACCTGGGTACTCTGTAAAGGGAAGAAACATTAATTTTTAATGTTTCTTGCTTCTACATTCAGAAAGCAGCATGTCAAGTTTTCCGAAATACCTGAGAGTCTCGGAGGCGGAAACTTATGATTCCCAATTTACTTTTGAAAACTTCTCAATATTAAACTTGAATAAACAATTCTTTTTAAAGACAAAATCTGCTGCAACAGACATGTTAAGGTGAAGAAGATTTTCTTACTTCTACTTCAAAAACCTGCAAAAACACCCAGCTATACAATATAGGGTAAAAAAGAACATAATTAAACAGGAAAATATCTTTCCCAAGACCTGTGGCGGGACTCTACCTTCAACTCTACATCTATATGACGAGATATTCAAACAGCTTATGGATTACTTTGTTCTCATTAAAGCTCTAATGTCATACCGGAGAGGTGATGAGGCCAAGAGCTGATCTCCATAGTAACGTAGCACCACAAAGATCTATCACAGTTCCATCATGGAGAATATTGTCCTCATCCAGGATCTGAAATAGTAGCCAAAGACATAGGTTAAAATCACTTTCACAGCATGAGTTCTGATTACATACAGTAACTAGTGTATCCTGAAAGTAACAGTGTCTGGTCAAACTATTTGATTCCAATGAATAAAGCTAGCATTGAGTACAACAATTTAGACTGTGTTGGACGGCTTTCAGAATAAAGTTGGTGAAATTCAGTTTAGCACTTCGAAAGAAGAACCTATTGAAAGAAATAGTTGACAGCCAAATGATGGATGCCAGCAATAGTAGAGCTAACCTTTGTTCTTTGTTTTATTTATTTATATATTTTTTTCAAGAAGGAATTTTGCAATAACCCTCGACAAGTATGTTTGTGATGCTTTCCTCAGTCGATGGTATGTAACTGACCTGGTTACTTTTGAGGGGTGCCGACCTGGACTCTCTCAGAGGATATATAGCACCACCCACCGACACCTCCCGCCATACTCCTGGTTTGCCTGTGGGGTTGAAGCCACCCTGGGGTTGCATAATGAACACACCATTGGTCGTAAGTCCATCAATTTCCTCCCCCGAATACCACTTCACTGCCTTCTCCTTCAAACAAAAGGAAAATATGGCTCTTAAAACAAATATTCTTACAAATGATCAACATCATAAAATCTATGTAAATGTTCAATGGAGATATTTGCTTTCCATGCAATAAATAGTGGGGTTTGATGCTCAGTATTCACAAGAAAGACACCTCAGTAAAAATTGAAACGAGAGCAGTAAATAACACACCAGGAAGTGTCCTGAACGAGTGAACAAGCTATTCATTATATTGATGATTTCTATGTCATGTCCAATGAACTATTTATCAATACAATTACTTGATTATATGAAGAACGCTTCATTTTGTCAATATATCAGTGTAAAAAGAAATAAGACACATTATGTCCACAAACCCAGATTTTGTCAAAATCAGTGTGATCGTTTTCAATAAATCTACATCAATGTTTCAGGCAGGATTCACAGCACCTCTGTTGCTGTCAATTGTCACGGGTAATAAGTGAAACCACTGCTAACAGACGTACAGAATTAAAATAATACCAGAAAAGCAAATGTCCTCTAAACAGTGCACTTAAAAAAATATTATCCTGCTCTTTAGATGAATGACCCGAAACCTGATGACACAGAAAACACCACCACATACTAATATCATTCAATCTTTATCCTCCTGATGTAATGGCCTCAACACTTCACACAGACTTGACTGACTTCAGGCAAATTTCAAGTACATCATTATCATATAAGTATAGGTACACACGACTTTATGATCAGGCAGATGTACTAACCCCCAGAAAAATGTTTCTCCCCGAGTCAAAGCCAGCTGCAAATATTCTGGCTGTATAGGGTGGATCTCTCTCCAACAGTATTCTGCAGGCAAATCGGGATATGGTACTCTGTGTGATGCTATCATTGGCTGTCCGCTGATTTCCTGGAATCGTGTCCATCACAACATAGTCTATAGGTACCTCTGAAGAACGGCCAATCTAGGAACGAGAGCAACACGTTTTCAATCTCATTCTTTAGTAAACAAAACAAATATAACCATTTTGGGCATGTTATCTTGTACATTTCTGAAGTAAATAACTGCTTCAAGAATATTGCCACATTGTGATGTTTAATAATCATGTTTACAGTTTGCATGTACTTGATCATTGCTTTTCCAATATTAACTATTAGCAGTCCAATGTCTAGCAGTGAAGTTACTATTACCTGATACATGTCTGTGTTGGGGTCCTGTTTGTATTCTACAATGACAGCCTGGTTACGAGACAGAGTATAGGACACAGAATGCTGGTGGGTGTCCTGGACGGCCTGTACACATAAAGTCAACACATTGGTCACTGTATAGACAGTTACATACAAAACTGTACACAGTGGTCACTGTATATACAGTTACATACAAAACTGAACAGTGGTCACTATATATACAGTTACATACAAAACTGTACACATAAAGTCAACACATTGGTCAAAGTATATATAGTTACATACAAAACTGTACACAGTGGTCACTATATATACAGTTACATACAAAACTGTACACAGTGGTCACTGTATATATACAGTAATGTACCAAACTGTACACAGTGGTCACTATATATATAGTAACGTTCCAAACTATACACATAAAGTCAACACATTGGTCAAAGTATATACAGTTATATACAAAACTGTACACAGTGGGCACTATATATACAGTTACATCCAAAACAGTACACATTGGTCTCTGTATATATACAGTAATGTACCAAACTGTACACAGTGGTCACTGTATATATACAGTAATGTACCAAACTGCACACAGTGGACACTATATATACAGTTACATACAAAACTGTATGCATAAAGTCAACACATTGGTCAAAGTATATATAGTTACATACAAAACCGTACACAGTGGTCACTATATATACAGTTACATACAAAACTGTACACAGTGGTCACTATATATACAGTTACATACAAAACAGTACACATTGGTCACTGTATATATACAGTAATGTACCAAACTGTACACAGTGGTCACTATATAGATATACAGTAATGTACCAAACTGTACACAGTGGTCTCTATATATATATACCGTAATGTACCTAACTGTACACAGTGGTCACTATATATACAGTAACGTACCAAACTGTACACAGTGGTCACTGTATATATACAGTAATGTACCAAACTGTACACAGTGGTCACTATATATATATACCGTAATGTACCTAACTGTACACAGTGGTCACTATATATATACAGTAATGTACCAAACTGTACACAGTGGTCACTATATATACAGTAACGTTCCAAACTATACACATAAAGTCAACACATTGGTCAAAGTATATATAGTTACATACAAAACTGTACACAGTGGTCACTATATATATATACAGTTACATACAAAACAGTACACATTGGTCACTGTATATATACAGTAATGTACCAAACTGCACACAGTGGTCACTGTATATACAGTAATGTACCAAACTGTACACATTGGTCACTTTATATACAGTAATGTACCAAACTGCACACAGTGGTCACTGTATATACAGTAACATATCAAACTGTACAAAGTGGTCACTATATATACAGTAATGTACCAAACTGTACACATCGGTCATTATATATACAGTAACGTACCAAACTGTACACAGTGGTCACTATATATAGTTACATACAAAACAGTACACATTGGTCACTGTATATATACAGTAATGTACCAAACTGTACACATAAAGTCAACACATTGGTCAAAGTATATATAGTTACATACAAAACTGTACACAGTGGTCACTGTATATACATTTACATACAAAACTGTACACAGTGGTCACTGTACATATACAGTAATGTACCAAACTGCACACAGTGGTCACTGTATATACAGCAATGTAACAAACTGTACACAGTGGTCACTATATATATACAATAATGTACCAAACTGTACACAGTGGTCACTCTATATACAGTAATGTACCAAACTGTACGCAGTGGTCACTATATATATACAGTAATGTGCCAAACTGTACACAGTGGTCACTATATATACAGTTAGGTAATGTACCAAACTGTACACAGTGGTCTCTTTATATACAGTAACGTACCAAGCTGTACACAGTGGTCACTGTATATACAGAAACGTACCAAACTGGACACAGTGGTCACTATATATACAGCAAGGTACCAAACTGTACACAGTGGTCACTATATATACAGTAACATACCAAACTGTACACATAAAGTCAACACATTGGTCAAAGTATATATAGTTACATACAAAACTGTACACAGTGGTCACTATATATAGTTACATACAACACAGTACACATTGGTCACTGTATATATACAGTAATGTACCAAACTGCACACAGTGGTCACTATATATATACAGTAACGTACCAAACTGTACACATAAAGTCAACACAGTGAACACTGTATATACAGTTAAATACAAAACTATACAAATGAATTCAACACATTGGTCACTATATCCATTAATGTACCAAACAGGACCAGTTATCATGAAATGTAAGCTAGCATTGATGACATTCTAAACAGTTTTTATAAGGTATACCAAACTGTACACAGTGGTCACTATATATATATACAGTTACATACAAAACAGTACACATTGGTCACTGTATATATACAGTAATGTACCAAACTGTACACAGTGGTCACTGTATATACATTTACATACAAAACTGTACACAGTGGTCACTGTATATATACAGTAATGTACCAAACTGCAGTAATGTACCAAACTGCACACAGTGATCACTGTATATACAGTAACATACCAAACTGTACACATAAAGTCAACACAGTGAACACTGTATATACAGTTAAATACAAAACTATACAAATGAATTCAACACATTGGTCACTATATCCATTAATGTACCAAACAGGACCAGTTATCATGAAATGTAAGCTAGCATTGATGACATTCTAAACAGTTTTTATAAGGTATACCAAACTGTACACAGTGGTCACTATATATATATACAGTTACATACAAAACAGTACACATTGGTCACGGTATATATACAGTAACGTACCAAACTGTACACAGGGGTCACTATATATACAGTAAGGTACCAAACTGGACACAGTGGTCCCTATATATACAGTAAGGTACCAAACAGTACACAGTGGTCACTATATATATAATAATGTACCAAACTGTACACAGTGGTCTCTTTATATACAGTAACGTACCAAGCTGTACACAGTGGTCACTGTATATACATTTACATACAAAACTGTACACAGTGGTCACTGTACATATACAGTAATGTACCAAACTGCACACAGTGATCACTGTATATACAGTAACATACCAAACTGTACACATAAAGTCAACACAGTGAACACTGTATATACAGTTAAATACAAAACTATACAAATGAATTCAACACATTGGTCACTATATCCATTAATGTACCAAACAGGACCAGTTATCATGAAATGTAAGCTAGCATTGATGACATTCTAAACAGTTTTTATAAGGTATACCAAACTGTACACAGTGGTCACTATATATACAGCAAGGTACCAAACTGTACACAGTGGTCACTGTATATATACAGTTAAATACAAAACTGTACACAGTGGTCACTGTACATATACAGTAATGTACCAAACTGCACACAGTGATCACTGTATATACAGTAACATACCAAACTGTACACATAAAGTCAACACATTGGTCAAAGTATATATAGTTACATACAAAACTGTACACAGTGGTCACTATATATATACAATAATGTACCAAACTGTACACAGTGTTCACTGTATATACAGTAATGTACCAAACAGTACACAGTGGTCACTCTATATACAGTAAGGTACCAAACAGTACACAGTGGTCACTATATATATACAGTAATTTACCAAACTGTACACAGTGGTCACTATATATACAGCAAGGTACCAAACTGTACACAGTGGTCACTGTATATACAGAAACGTACCAAACTGGACACAGTGGTCACTATATATACAGTAAAGTACCAAACTGGACACAGTGGTCACTATATATACAGTAAAGTACCAAACTGGACACAGTGGTCACTATATATACAGCAAGGTACCAAACTGTACACAGTGGTCACTGTATATACATTTACATACAAAACTGTACACAGTGGTCACTATATATATATACAGTAATGTACCAAACTGCAGTAATGTACCAAACTGCACACAGTGGTCACTATATATATACAGTAACGTACCAAACTGTACACATAAAGTCAACACATTGGTCAAAGTATATATAGTTACATACAAAACTGTACACAGTGGTCACTATATATACAGTAGGTACCAAACTGTACACAGTGGTCACTATATATACAGTAAGGTACCAAACAGTACACAGTGGTCACTATATATATACAATAATGTACCAAACTGTACACAGTGGTCACTGTATATACAGTAATGTACCAATCTGTACACAGTGGTCACTGTATATACAGTAATGTACCAATCTGTACACAGTGGTCACTGTATATACAGTAACGTACCAAACTGGACACAGTGGTCACTATATATACAGTAATGTACCAAACTGTACACAGTGGTCACTCTATATACAGTAACATACCAAACTGTACACATAAAGTCAACACAGTGAACACTGTATATACAGTTAAATACAAAACTATACAAATGAATTCAACACATTGGTCACTATATATACAGTAACGTACCAAACTGGACACAGTGGTCACTATATATACAGTTACATACAAAACTGTACACAGTGGTCACTATATATATACAGTAACGTACCAAACTGGACACAGTGGTCACTATATATACAGTTACATACAAAACTGTACACAGTGGTCACTATATATATACAGTAACGTACCAAACTGGACACAGTGGTCACTATATATACAGTTACATACAAAACTGTACACAGTGGTCACTATATATATACAGTAACGTACCAAACTGTACACAGTGGTCACTATATATACAGTAAGGTACCAAACTGTACACAGTGGTCACTATATATATACAGTAATGTACCAAACTGTACACATAAAGTCAACACAGTGAACACTGTATATACAGTTAAATACAAAACTATACAAATGAATTCAACACATTGGTCACTATATCCATTAATGTACCAAACAGGACCAGTTATCATGAAATGTAAGCTAGCATTGATGACATTCTAAACAGTTTTTATAAGGTCTTTTTAGACTTAGAGATTACCAATTACATAATACACAGAACACAGTTCGTAGAATCAGTGAATAAATCTGTCAGTATCAATCTGGCATTACATTGCTATTAATTAAATAAGATAACAGATAAAGGCAAAGTAGGGCTTAGGGCAATATGGCAGTTTATGAACGGGCCATTCAAACACAAAAGCTATTCCCCATCTCCCCCCCCCCCCCCCCCCCCCCCCCTTTATTAATGAAGAACTGTTTAAGTAAACATGTGAGTTTTTTTATACTGTATCTTCACACCGAGGAACAAATCGATGATTCAGCCAGTATTACAATGATAATAGGAACACACAGAAATATTATACAATCTTATTGGTATTCATTGTATTTAATCACTGTTCTGTCACTTTTTTTGACTTGCAAATTTTCACTTTTAACAGACAAGAGTGAATACCTTTTACATTTGTAGTACATCATGTACCATAAAACTGGAAGCTATAATACTTGCTAAGGTAGAAAAAGAGCTTTAGCATCTCATGGCTCAAAAGAGTTCTTTTTTTTTTAGTACTTCCATTTTCCTGTAGTACCTTATGACTCTCTCAATAACTTACCTTGGAAGATTGGGGATTTTTGACAATGTGTTTTCTGTAAGGTTTGACACCATTTCCAGCTATTTTCTTGGCTAAAATAAATTTACTTTTTCTTCTTCCTTTGTCACCATTAGGCAAGTGCCCATTGTACCTAATAAAATTTTAAAGATTTATGAATGAATTAATTTCATTGCATATAGCCACAAAACAACATGATTGTCAACTTAGTAACAGCCTCTCCTGAATACATGTATGATCTAGTTCTTAAATTTGGTAAGGCTGCTATATGTGCATGTATTGTTGTGAAGAACCCAATGCAATAGAAATTTGACAGACCACACATAAAAATCAATATACATGGTAGGATGAAAATACATATATATGGCAATACAATTTATATTGTTCTTGTTAAAATTATAAATGTAAAATGCTATTACATAAAAAGTATTTTTTTATTTCATTTTGAATTACAATGGATAATCAAACAATTCAACATTGTATAAATAATGCTAGTTTAATTGGGGCTGACTATATAATTGTACGACAACAAATTTTGAAGTAAATACATATATACGTATATATATAATCATATATACCAGTACTATGCTACTGCTGTAGTGTAAACATATTTCCCCATTCCCTTTTGTACATTAATCAGTACATGGCATGTAATCAACAATTTTGATGGTATGCCAGTACAACAAAGAAGAAAATGTCAATTAAATAAGACATAAAATCATGAGAATGTGGTTGCATTGTCATTATAGACATACCCTAAGATGACTAGCTCCCCAAATTTAATGGACTGGCCCCGGGGTGGTTTGTGACTTGGACTCCCCTGGGAATACTCCCCTGCAGTAGACTGTTGACTGCTGCTGTGTAACGCCATTTCCATTCTAGTGAATCAGCATTGCCCATGAGTATCCTGCTAGAAATTGAAATACATAATAGCTTTTTCTTTTTTAAACATTTTTTCTAGCACTGCACAGTCTGTGAAGAGAATGCTAGACGTTTCGGTAACAAGTTGTTTCCGGACGTACACAAGATATTTCGGGACTTAATCAAGTCATTTCGAGACATATACAATTTTCATTTAAATTTACAAATTGCATTTTGCTCCCGTTTCATATAAAGTCCTGTAAATAGATCTAGACAAGTACATGTACATGTATGGTTTAGTCCATGAGTTGTAATCACGACCTATCTGTGCTTGGGATAATTAGTGTTTTTAATGCTAATGGCTGAGGGGATCGATACCCTCTGTACTGACATTAAGCTGATTGTCAGTATCCAATTTCTTTCGCTATTGATAGGTTAGTTACTTGATATCGTTATAAAATAATGTGTTTTCATATCACTCTGTTCCTCATTGTTGACAAATTTCATGGAAGTTAGTAAAAATCTCAAACATGTACAATATATTGGAAAATGACTGTCCGAATCATGGACTTAAGATATCAATAATATAATTCTGTGTCCGAATATACTTCAATTTTTACTTACACGTACAGACACGTGCACACAGATATGCGTTTTTTGCAACAATTCATTCATCACACGAAAGTAACCAAATTAAATGTAATAATGTGGTAGGATGTGTCCAGAAGATGCATATTTTCATATATTTATATAATGGTATGAACAGTAGAAAAAAAGTATTTGTCTTGTCCGGAAATGACCCGAAAAAGTCCAGAAACGATTTTTGTCCTGTTACCGAAATGACCTGACACCTGTAAAGAAATGATTTGTGCTTTGAGCTCCTATCATGGTATATATCTAAAATGATATGATATAACTTTTAAACATATCTAGTATTACCTACGTATACATCTACCTGCAAGCTTGTGATTGTATGGGGATTTATATCTTCCTATAAATAGTCTTGCTTGGATGTTTCTATATAATGTTTGTAATAACTACCACAACACCAGCTCTGCTTAACTGCCATGATGAACACTCTCAACCGGCCACCCCTACATCTCCGCCGTCTCCAATTCAGACAAATCATGTTTTACAAAATTGTTCATTACCTTGTTGCTGTCAAATCAGGAAATTTTCTCACACCTGTGGACCCCCACTGCACACTCGTGCAAGTCATCATAACCAATATGCTTAATTTATATAAACACCTCCAAACCTTCAAACGTCTAAAGACTGCTACAAGTACTCCTTCTACCCCAGAACTATAACTCAGTGGAATCTACTCCCTCAGTCTTTCGTTTCTGTCAACACTGTTATGCCTTCAAATCTACCCTCAGTAGTTTTTTTTCGTATTAAATCAACATAACAAAAAGTTTTACTTTTAACCTTTTAACCAACGCCTAGTGATAAACCATCAGCATTGATGGCCCACTAGTATTCTTCAGAACAAGAAGAATTTTCACTTGTTCCCAATAAAAATTCTTATAATGATATTAAATTACTTCTTTCATGTATGTGTTAGATTTGTTACCCATTCAACAACTAATGTCAAAAAGTCTCAAAATTTGAAGTAAGAAAAAAATAAGATGGATTATTGGATTCATTATACAAAACTCGACTAATTCTTTATATTAATTGCTAACAATTTAATTTAAAATGAAATTTTAAAAATACCTATTAAGCTTATTTAAACAAAATATTAACTATGATAATGTCTACAAACTGATATACAAACCTTACACCACAAAGTACTTGGACATGCTCCTATCCCCCTCATTGAACGTTTGGGTTTGACCATGTGTTTAAATACCACGATAACAATGAACCGATACAAATCTCACGTTATCTTTACCAAAATGGTCCTGTTTTTCTCGGTTTTTCTTCCTCTTTTAAAAGATAAACCTGATCACACATGTACTACTTTATAAACGTACGTGATGTGGTTATACAAAATCTACGTTCGAAATCCATTATCCATTCTGGTTGATTTTTGCGTTAATTTTCTTTTCTGTTCGTGTTTGTATTATTTTCATGATTCTCCCCGGAAATGAAATTCTCACATAGGTGGCGCTGTCAACGATAACTTCCGGTTGACATTATTTACATTTATTTCTGGGTGTTGTTCATTATATTTCATAATTCTACGCTTGCTTTGGTGTAGGAAAACCGCATTCGTATATCATGGATCAGTTAGATTCTAGTTGGGACCTTGGAAACGCTGACCTGATTCAGCAAATAGCTGACCTAGATTGGCTTCATAATGACAAAACTGATTTCCTGAAAGAAGTGACCACTCTTCGGGTTGGATATGAGCTTTACCAAAGATTGAGCGGTGAGAGGGAATTGGCAGCAATGCGTGCTGAAACCATTGCGAACATCGCAAAATTCGTTAAAGGAAACCCAAAAGCTACAAAGCAGGAACTTCAGAAGGAAGTTGCGAAACAGATCTGGTTATTTTCACAGAAGGTGGAAAAAATGTAATTGAGAAAATGTTGGCATGTCCAATGGCAATGCACTTGTCAGAAGTATTTTGATGTGAAATGTAGACAATCCACAGACTTGAGAGTTACAATTATTACATCCTGATCAACCCGGATACGGTGAAGCAACATCTTATTGTCTTGAAGACATACATATATATACAGACTAATTTAATCCAGTTCTAAATAGAAGTAAAAAGAAAACAGACCTTAACCAAATGCAAGGAAATTAACAAATACGACAGGAAAAAGGAACAAAATAGGACTTTTCCTGTACAGACTGACAAATGTTGATGAGATTGTTTCAGTAAAATGACAGATTTTTGTTTATGAAAGAAAACAGTTTACTTTAATTCCAATGGATATTATACATATATATCACGTCCCTGATGACGCCATATGACTTATTTAGCATCGGTTGTCCAGAAGAACTTCAAGAAGAATTCAAGAACATTTAACATTCATGTGTGTCCAGTGGCGGAACCAGAGTTTTTTGGGGGGCCTCAGGAACCCCCCAGCCTGAGAACTTTCTTTTAAATCATGTATTTTCACCATTTTCCTCAATTTTTCCCCACATGGAACCCCCCACCCCCTGATAGGTCTCTGGATCCCCCACTGGTGTCCTATTGAACTGTGGACTGTAGAAAACAAATGTTTGTTCATCTATACATTGACGAAGCTTAACTGTGAAAAGTGATATTTCTTAATAACATTTCAGGAATGTCATTTAATACTGTGTTCTCTGGAAAAAGCATAGTCGTTCTTGTGTGATTTCATGTTCAAGTACTGTGTAATAATTTTCTTCATTATTAATATAACAATTAAGAATTATGAACTTTATAAATACATGTCCTTGTATAATACCAGTTTCTTTTACACTTCTAAAACGTATACATATTAGAAAGCAAAGTTTGATTTTTTTTCTTTCCCAGCAGTGTTATTTTTCAAACAAATAACTTCAAATGAACTTAGAATATGCTTTTTTATCGACATAGGTTTATTTTTTGTACATCCGTATGCTGGTTGTATATTCAATAATTCATATTGAGAAGATATTGATTGTGTGTTTAAACATTCAAGCAGTGCATATATCACATATTACTTACCATATGTTAGTACCATTTTGATTAAGTTATTTAGAATTCAATAAATGGAATAAATGTTGTTCTCAAAATTAGTAGCCTGTTTACTTTTTGTATGAGTGACAAGAATGTGTATACAGCTACAGCAAGATTACTCTTCTAAAATCTGCAATTCCTGAAAACACCTGTCTTTAAGATGCTTATAGTCCTTATAACCTCACTAAGGGATGTACCAAGATCTAGCATTGTACTACCGGTAGGTCCAAACATATTTTGGTGATGATATTTAAATGTTTATCAACAACACAAAATCTGAATTTTTCATGTGTTAAAAACAGATACTTTACCTATTTGTTATATATACAAATGTTTTACTCATTTTTCTCAAAATATTATTCTATTCCCTATTGGACCCAAATGTTTCCCCTCAGTAGCATCAATAACTAGAACTATTGCTTATGAGCTAACTAATACCCCACATTACGGCTGCTTGTTGTCCCTGTAAATAATCAAGGGTCATGAAAAAGTCATTTCAGTAACATAATGCATATTTGACCTCATGACCTTGGAAGTTTGTCATAATATAGCCTGCATAATTGGCTATGATACTTTTACGTATATGTGTATACAAAATACCTACTGTTCCGGAGATAATTAGCCATTTCGGTAACATAATTCATTCGTGACCTTTGACCTCTGACCCCACGACCTCGGAAGCTGTCAGTAGAGTAGATTGCATTAATAACTACAATATTTTAATGTATATACAATGTATGTGTATACAAAATACCTTCTGTTTCCAAAATATTTAGCCATTTCAGTAACGTAAATACTATTTCATTCGTGACCTTTGACCTTTCAAAATGCAGGAAGTTGAAACCTGACAAAAAACCCATTGTATATGTTAAACATTGTTGCTTCTAGCATTACCATACTAAATTTGGAAGGAATTGAATAAAAACAAAAAAAGTTCTTGCACTTTCTATACAATGTCATGTCTAGAGAAGGTTTATGAACCAAGTACATAACTTTGTGAAAAGGGGAGATAACCCAATGAAAAGTACTTTACGTACATCTCCAAGCTGCAAGGATTGTTATCAGTAAATTTCATTAAAATCCAATCAGTAGTTCAGGAGGAGTACGCGGTACTACATTGCGTCCAAAGACGGACAGATTGACAACCTGATTCCAGTTTACCCCCCCTTAACTTCGTTGCAGGGGTATACTAACTTCGTTGTTGGGGTATAACTAATTTGAATCGATTATATTATATATATGCAAAAGTATAAACATTTTTAGCGTTGAATAGTGTTTGATTTGCAGATAAAAACTAAATTTATCATTATATAATTATTATACAGTCTAAATTTGACACATTACTGGTACTCTTCTCTAGATTTATCCACATATGAAGGGTGATGTCTGCAGGCCTTCTAGTATAAGTGTAATAGAGCTTAACATTAAGTTGTACAGATGGACAGATATTTATTTTTACATCCTCTTTGTCAAATGTGAACAATTTTAAGACAATCGTCAAGCAAAATCTCAAACAGACATTTACAAGAGGTCCAATGGGCCTGCATCGTTCACCTTGAATTACAATTATCTCACATGGACAAGTAGTAAAGCTGGACCAAAATACAGCAGTAGGCAGAAGAATCTGTTAAAAGTTTAACACATTTGGCACCTATGACTTTAACAAATTCTAACAAAGTAATTAAGTTTTTTAGCTCACCTGGACCAAAGGACCAACTTTTCCTTTAAAACACTATTAGTCCTGAACGGCCGAGTAGATTTTGACTAAATTTAGTTTGGAGCATCCTTAGGCCAAGGGGACTAAATTTTGTATAAACGGTAGGTGTGGCCCCCCAGGGACGGGCCCAATAGGGGAAATAGAGGTAAAACCTTTAAATCCTTCTTCTACCATAGGGATTATGGGATTTTATCCTAATTTAGTCTGGAGCATCCTTGAGCCAAGGGGACTCAATTTTGTATAAGCAGTGGTTGTGGCCCCCTGGGGGCAGAGGGGCAGAGCCAAATAGGGGAAATAGGGGTTATTTTATAGCTAATTCTTCAAAATCATTCTTCTTCTGTAAGAATGACAAGATTATGTCCATATTTGGTCTATAGCATCCTTGGGTGAAGGGGACCTAATTTTGTATAGGGGAAACATAGCAAATTCTTCAAAAGCCTCCTTTTACTTTAGGAATGTTATGATTGTGTCCAATTGCATATATAACCCCTGACTAACCAATAACCATGTAATACATCTACACTTCAGTAAAATCTTGCTATTCTAACTTCAATTTTGCAAACATTTCCAGGTGAGCGATACAAGCTCTCTGGGCCTCTTGTTTAACAAATTTGATATCCCTTCATCCCTGGAGCATGCTACTGACCAAATATCATCACACTGGGAATTTGTTTAGGAGAAGAGGTCATTCATAGACTTATACCTATTTGACCATCTGCCCTTGAAATCAGGTCAAGGTCATTCACAAGAACAGATATGATAGCACTTCCTCCAAGCATGTAACTGTCCAAATGACATCACCCTAGGCTTTTTGGTTATTCTGAAGTTGTACAAAAGTTTAAAACACATCGGACCCCGCAACTTGGAATATGAGTGAAGGTCACTCATTTAAATAAACTTGATAGCCCTTCATCCAAGCATGCTACTGGCAAAATATCATCACCGGTGATACTTTGGTTATTCAGAATTAGTTGTTCAAACGCATTTTGACACATTTGACCCCTGTGACCTTGAATATGAGTGGAAGTACCTCATTTGAAAAAAAACTTTGGTAACAATTCATTCTAACATGCTATTGACCAAATATCTTCACTCTGGACCCTTTGGCTTATTCAGAAGTAGTCTTTCATTTTTTTTTAATACATCTGACCACTGTGACCTTGAATATGGGAGAAGGTCATTTATTTGAACAAATTTGACAGCCCTTTCTCCTAGCATGTTACTAGTCAAATATTATCACCCTAACCCTTTTGGTATTTCATCAGAAATTGTTACAAAGTTTCTTCAACACACTTGACCCTTGTGACCTTGAATATAGGTGAAGGTCATTCATTTGAACAAACTTGGTAGCCACCAATCTTCAATGTCAACCCACATACAAAGTCTGAGCATTGTGCTTCCAAAGTTAGGATAAGAAACAATAACCCTTTTAAAGTATTAATGACCTTGGCATTGTCCTTGGACAACTAACAGCCCACATTTATAGGGCAAATTCCTCCACACTTGGAAAATCCAAATAGTTTGAGATACAGGGAATTACTTTTACTGTTGATAGGATCTGCATGATCACATATAACGATTACAGTGATCTCGACTTTGACGAACCACACCTAAAATCATTAAGATTCTTCCTCTTCCCTAGAGAAACCAAACTACCATATCTTGAGCTGTCATAAATAAGGTTGAGTTAGTGATGGAGCCCCCTTCCTGTCTTTTGACAATTCATCAATAAGTGTATGGCCAATATATTAATGAATCCTGAAGTACACAATTCTATTAAGATATTCTAAATAACAGATGCATCACATGTGTGTGTGTATGTGTATTTGTTGGCCTCGTTCAAAGAAAAAGACGCTTATATTAATTTGGTAACAAGACAAGTGCAGCATGTTTAAAACAAACACAGTTTTCCTTTTTGAAATGTTGTAGATTGTCTTTTGTAAACAGCAGCAGGTAACTGAACCTGAAACCTAATCACGTAAAGCCAACAACATGACATACACAGAACTTTGAGCAAAATGTGTTGAAAATATCACAAGAAACTACTAGTCATAGAAAACAAATCAGATTATAGTTATATACAGTAGTATAGTTTATTGACTCATTCACCTGTCATCTATTTTGTTAAACACACAAATAGTGGCATCAGTCTCTCCTAGTTTAACATAGTGACTATCAATGACCTTTAATTTACTGAGATAATCATATGTCGGTGATTTTATCTTTAAGTCTGTTTTGCATGGAATCGTTTCATGTTTTTCATCACTTGTGGTACAACCACAGCCATCAATGTGACCTTGAAAAGATGAACCCGTATGACCTTGACGTGACATCTCATGCAGTACAGATTCTCCTTCAGACTTCGGCACAGTATCATCACCATGTTGACAAATTTCAGTCTGTACACAAATCTTCTGAGATTCACAATTTTCTCTCTGCATTGTGGATTCCTCAGCTTCACATTTTGTGTCCTGCTCTACAATATCATCAGCTGAATTTTCACATTTACATTCACTATTACTTGGTGGCAATTTTCTATCAAGTGTGGCCGCCGACTCATTCTCACTTTCCGATGTTACAAGTGCATTGGATTCTAGTTCATCACTACTATGGAGGTGACCTTGTAGAGAGGTCAATGGAGTGACCTTGACCTGACCATGTCCATCCGTTTTGGTTGTCATGTCATCAATCTCCTTCCTTGACACTAGTTCCCTTTTGTGGTCATCAGACTGTCCACAAAGACCACAGACCTTTAAACTAAGTCGTTGACTCGTCAATAATACCAAACATCCTCCAGGCTTTAGCACTCTAAAATAGAGTCAAAATCTATGCAAGAATAATTTCTGTGAAATATATTATAAAGTCAGAAACACCAAGTATTTACATGTAATCTTAAAATATTTTCGTTCTGTAACTTAACCATGGTTAGCTAAATTAAGATATACTGGTAATGGGCTTCTACATATATAACAACTAACAGATTAGAAAACATCCATCCCAATGACCCATAGATATTGAAAAGGCAGATAACTCTAATGATAAAAAAATTCAAGAGTGACCTTGGCCTTCAAAATGTATCATTGTTTGATTCTCTCTAATTAAAACAAAACTTGATAAAAACTTTCCTTGTCTTACCCACAAAAACCCGATCTTCAGTGTATTAAATTCACTTCCATAGAAAAGAAACAACTCAAAACAGTTTTTAAATTACTGACATCAGTATTTGTAAGTATGACTATTTACCGTGATATCTCTGTGAGACTTTCTTTGTAGAATTCCAAAATATTATTACAGTCTGGGAGAAAGTTCTGACCAAATGGAGCATCACACAATACTTTGTTGATGCTACCAGATGCCAGTGGCATGCCTGGGTGATAGAAACAAAAATGCAAATTTAGTTTTCAGTAAATACATGCAAGTACGATTACAAGTGTAAAACAGAAATGACAAAGTAAATTTTTTTTTTTTTTAATTTTCACATTTCAGGAAATGAAAATGTAAACAATTTTTTCAGATAAATCTTTTGTGTTTTTGGATGTTTCAGTTTACAGGGATTTGCTTTAGATAAAAAGTTTTCATTTTACAAATTCTGTATAACTACCAAATACTGATTGATAGTTTCTGATATTATAAAACTTCATAATCAACAACATAATCATAGCTAGATGGTGTGTCAGTATATTACATACCCAACAATATGTAGTTTAATATGCAACTAACTTCTAACTTTGTACTCACACTTTGCGTCCCCTTGAACAAGTCCTATGTTGCCAAGGAGATGTGACCAAAGCAGATTATCTGCAGCCTTTGATAGCTGATCCTTACTGATGTCCATGCCCAGGTAGGTTGCTTTCTGGAGAGTCATTTTAAAATGATTGAGTACACAAATGAAACTTGGAAGAGCGTAACCTGGGAAATTTGAAGGTATCTTGTTGTAACATTAATTTCAAATAAGATTTCCTGTATATTGATTGGCAAAAATGAAACAAGTTTAATTTACTTCATTTTCTTTTAATTTGCACATCATATATAAGCACTAAGTAGATGATAATTTAACTTTTAATGAATGTAATACCTATTTGGTTATTGTATGTGAATGATTTGATATTTATAACTATTCATTATACAGAAATGTGCTGCTCAACATTTAATTGCTGCACATCAACCTAATAAACAAGTAAAGCTACATTTGAGAATTTATTCAGTTTTTCAGGTGTTGATAGTAAGAGTGTAGAAGTATTACTTACTGGGAAATTATGACACGCTTCAACCAGGAGTGTGGCCTTTCCGCACATAGGGTCCAGTACCATGTCACCAGGCTGCAGGGAGGTAAACAGAAACGGGATAAGCAATTGCATTACAGATTGTATTATGAAATTTGCAAACATATGTAGCAGTACTGAGTTGGGTGACTTCTCATTACTGTAAAGGTTTAAGGCAGGGCAACTGGTAGAATGTCTGTCTCATGTATGGAGGTTCTGAGTAAAAATTCTTGAATAAAGAAACTTTTTCTTGCCGGTAATTTTTGTTTTAAATGTTTTTCTACGGAAAATCTTATACCTGAATTTAAGGAATATCTATGAACCTGGGGCTAGAAGTCACAATATACAATGTACTTGAATCTACAGTATAGCATTTCAGCTGTAATTTTATAGTTCATCCTATTATGGTGTTACACTGAGACAAAGTTTCAAGAGTTCTTAGTGTGTCCTTTACCTGTTACAACCTCTGATTTTCTTTTCTTTTTTACATTGATAAATAGTAGTTTGCAGGTGTTAAGAATTCATGGATTGTGTTCAGATTGCAAATTGAATCAAACTAAAACTTTCTTGAAATTTAACAGCTGTACAAGTATTATCCCTTTCCAACTGGTTACCTGTATACCTAGTAGGTCAGACATGATCCAGGCAATCGTACCTCGCAGACCAAAGTGGCGAATGTAGTTTCGCTTGGATACTGGGGTGCTGGAAAATGGAAATGATATCATGATCAAATATTGTCTTTAAACCACAATCAGACTCCAAATCATGCAGAGAACACCACTGCTGTAAGAAATTGCAGTAACGTAGTTTTGAACATCAGGTAACCATACTCGCTTTTAATGCGACACATTTATCTGAATGTAAAGCTTACTAAAAGGTGGGGCTTTTACTAGTAACCTGTACTGAATTATCATTACGGTCTGCCGACAAATAAAAACTTGACATAGCAATGGGCACATATATATGTACCTGCTAATCAAATACAGTAAGCCTCCCTGTTGAACTTCATTGCAAAATTTGGGAATTTTTGGAAAAGATTTATCTTGAATTTTTATGACATTGCTGTCACGTATTATCATCTGGTGAACTTTGTACTGAGGGTAGACACCACAGAAAATAACATAAACCATAAATATTGACTATTCAATTTGCTTCACAGTGTTTTGCTAGATTTTAAAATTATGATATTTCTTTCAACTTTATTTTGAACTGTTTTCAATTAAAGTATAATTGATAATTTAATTCTTCTTTCAACATTTTACACCAGAAAATTTGTACCAAAATGATCTTTACATGTATGCATAGATTATGAAATCATAACCAAATTAATTGTTTGAACATTCAACAAGGTGACCTCCTTACTTTCAGAGTAAAGTTTTCTTAATTTTCATAATGTATATTTCTTTGTTCCTACATTGCCAAATAAACTTTAAACCCCACTTATTGGTGACGCCTGAGTATTTGTGATTATATCCTTTTGCTTTATTTGTTTATACATGTGTGAAATTTGAAAATGATTTAAGTGTTGGCGTATTTAAACTCCACCTATAGTAATGGCATTCAAACGTGAAGAGCAGATCATTAAAGTATACAGCGAAGTTGAATTGATCCCTTTACCAACAATCAGATAGACCTTTTCCTGTACAAAATTTTATTTTCCTGGTAATATCATCCTGGGTTCAAAAGTGGCTCTACATCAAAGTGCCATAAGGAGACTGTCTTGAAAGTGCTAATAGTGAAACCCATTACATTCTGACATCACTAAAATTAAGTGATTCTGTACAGTATACAGCATTACTCCAGTTGACCTACCTCTGAAGAGGGATACCCACACCAGTTGACCTTCCTCTGAAGAGGGATACCCACACCAGTTGACCTCCCTTTGAAGAGGGATACCCACACCAGTTGACCTACCTCTGAAGAAGGATACCCACACCAGTTGACCTACCTCTGAAGAGTGATACCCACACCAGTTGACCTACCTCTGAAGAGGGATAACCACACCAGTTGACCTACCTCTGAAGAGGGATACCCGCACCAGTTGACCTACCTCTAAAGAGGGATACCCACACCAGTTGACCTACCTTTGAAGAGGGATCCCCACACCAGTTGACCTACCTCTGAAGAGGCATACCCACACCAGTTGACCTACCTTTGAAGAGGGATCCCCACACCAGTTGACCTACCTTTGAAGAGGGATCCCCACACCAGTTGACCTACCTCTGAAGAGGCATACCCACACCAGTTGACCTACCTTTGAAGAGGGATCCCCACACCAGTTGACCTACCTCTGAAGAGGCATGCCCACACCAGTTGACCTACCTTTGAAGAGGGATCCCCACACCAGTTGACCTACCTTTGAAGAGGGATACACACACCAGTTGACCTACCTCTGAAGAGGGATACACACACCAGTTGACCTACCTCTGAAGAAGGATACCCACACCAGTTGACCTACCTCTGAAGAGGCATACCCACACCAGTTGACCTACCTTTGAAGAGGGATACACACACCAGTTGACCTACCTCTGAAGAAGGATACCCACTCCAGTTGACCTACCTCTGAAGAGGGATACCCGCACCAGTTGACCTACCTTTGAAGAGGGATATCCACACCAGTTCACTTACCTTTGAAGAGGGATACCCACACCAGTTGACCTACCTTTGAAGAGGGATACCCACAGTCAGTCTGTCATCATTCATATGGACACAAATCTGTTGATCAGATCAACTTGTTAATACCATAGCTATAAATGGTTAAAGCAAAGTCCTTTTGGGTAACCATTTGACACTGATAATTTTACTACATCGAAAATTTCTCAATATATACATATAATGGGATAAAATTATAATAAAAAATATGTTAAATTTTCGTAACCTTATGATTTTCTCTAATATCTGTAAAACTTTCGTAATTTTCTATTCTTTTTGGAAATTTTCTCTAAAAGTATACAGATTTCACTTTATAATATGACCATCTAACATGGCAAACTAAATGTTCTTATAAATCTTTTATTTCATGAAGTATATGATTTTATCTTATATTCCAATGAAGTTTTAGAAAGTCAACTCACCTCAATGGATGGGTTACGTAGATCAACTTTCCAGTTGACCAATCGCTGAAGACCACAACCAATATACCTTGACAGCACCTGAAAAATCATGAAAGCAAAAAAGAAAGTTTTAATTCATGTGTACACATAAATCATAGATAACAATATTTTATTAGAACTTGTCACATGTATATGGATGGTTTTGGAATGGCTGTTATAGACAAGGGTCTCTTCACATCGGTCAATCTAATTACATTTCTGTATAAAGATTTTAGGACAGGTTCTCTTGATCAAGGTGTCTGTTTAGACAAAGGTTTTACTAATCTGTGCCAAATAAAGAGATTTATTCAGTCTTGGATCCATATATACCTGAGATTGGATCTTCCGTCCTATTCTCCCTGCACATTTACATGATATCCTGAATGTTATCGGTGGTTTTTCATTTTCCAGGCGCTGTTTCTTACTTTCTGGACCATAATCCTTTTTATGTGGACTGTGTATTTTAGTAACTAAATCTGCGAGGTCAGCATTGGTCCAGAGATCCTCAGACAGGATGATTCTCCCTACATCTTGGACAGTTTTCACACCATCTGACGTAAAGCAAAACAGTATTCAGGTCCGACACTTTACACGAGTTATAATGACTAGGTGAAGTGATGTCATTCACTTCTTCACTGTGTGACAGAGTATTGTATAAATGAATACTTTTTATTTTAGCTAGTGCAGTATTTTTACAGACTATAATTCATCAATTGATAGGCTGAACATGTTCATGACTTAAAGCAGTTATAGTTTTGTATATGCAGCAATATGCTGTATATAATAATATGGGCCAGTGTGTGTATGTAACATCTTTCATAGGGTATATATATGTTATAGAAATGAAGTATTAGAAAGAATATGTTTGTCCACTGGGGCTTGATCTCGCAACCCCAGAACTTCTAGTTGGATGCTCTACCACTGTGCACAAGGGAAATTCCCCTTAGCAAAGCTAGGAAGGTGACTTTGACTCTTTATGTACAATTCACATCTCTTAAACATACATGTGTTAGATGTTTGTTGATTTAGTCTAAGCATAAGCTTGCAGGATTTCACAGTGCATCTACTCTAGCCAGACTGGGATTTGAACCCAGGACCCTCTGAACTCTAGACAGACTACCAATTGAGCATTAAGCTACCTGTAGTTTGCCCACGATCAACCCAGTCCAGTTTCACATCTCTCCCCTATTTTTCAGTCCAGTTTCACTACATCTCTCCCCTCTTTTTCTGTCCAGTTTCACTACATCTCTCCCCTCTTTTTCAGTCCAGTTTCACTACATCTCTCCCCTCTTTTTCAGTCCAGTTTCACTACATCTCTCCCCTCTTTTTCTGTCCAGTTTCACTACATCTCTCCCCTCTTTTTCTGTCCAGTTTCACTACATCTCTCCCCTCTTTTTCAGTCCAGTTTCACTACATCTCTCCCCTCTTTTTCAGTCCAGTTTCACTACATCTCTCCCCTCTTTTTCTGTCCAGTTTCACTACATCTCTCCCCTCTTTTTCTGTCCAGTTTCACTACATCTCTCCCCTCTTTTTCAGTCCAGTTTCACTACATCTCTCCCCTCTTTTTCAGTCCAGTTTCACTACATCTCTCCCCTCTTTTTCTGTCCAGTTTCACTACATCTCTCCCCTCTTTTTCTTTGTCTTTGGCCCTGATGACAAACTAATTACAACCCCGATTGATGCTCTACAAATTGAGATACTTCACTCAGGTCAACGGTCACAGATCAACCTCGTTGAGTTATGCTACACATTTCTGTGTGCGAGATCTCACAGGACAGAGAGTGTATTAAGCCAGAGCAAGTGTTTGCTTTCATGCATGTGTGTATATACAAGTTTGTGTGTTTTGTTGGAGTCAACATGTGTGTTTGCATTCAAAATCTCATTGTACAATGTTATACGAGTGTGTGTGTGTTTTTTGTTCGACTCTACAAGTGTGTGTGTATTCGTGATCATAATCATGCACATAATGTACAATAGTATATACATGTGTGTGTGTGTGGTTTGTTGGAGTCTATAGTTATATGTGTGCAATCTACATGGGAGTTTGAGCTGAGACAAGGAATAACCATTTGTGCAAGATACCACAGTTCATAGAAAGTGCTACATTTATAATACACAATGAATGGCAATTTAATCAGGATGTGTGGATTAAAATGCAATTGTGGTTCATCTGTAAGTGTACCTAGAGGGCTGTGTCTGACCACCTGGACAAACGCCCTCTCTATGGACTTCAGCTGACCAATTGCTCCTGAAAGTGCTGCATCTGCCTGGAAAAATACCTTTCCATCTGTCACCTGTAATATTAATTTAGATTTACATTGCATGTTAATCTCAGATTCATGCTTTACATTTCTAGTAACATTATTTTAATAATATTATAGACAAATTACAAGTGAAATGATCTGGTTCTGATCTGCAATGAAGACTTAATTATTAAATACCTGTATAGTAAGTTCTAACATTACCATTATTACAAACTTGTTTTCTGGCCATACACATCTATTGACTACGTCAGAAAACTGGTCTTTACCAATATTGCAAATTACAATAACATATACTTGTGTATTATCACTACCTGAATGTCTTTCCCACTAAGCTTTTGCTTGATCTCCTCAGCAACAAACTTCTCTGTTCCTCGACCAGCACTGCAGAAGAAGTACATCCTCCAGCTCTCTGCAACTGTTTCACACGTGGGTATGGGAGATAACTCTATGTACATAAACAAAAAACTTTTGGTTTAAGGTAACTGATCCCGTTGATTTAACAAGAAAATTATTTGTAAATTTAGGTACAATGCCTGGTGTATAGGCAGGAATCTGAAAATAATTTGAAGCAATGATGTTCCATGGGCATTTAAGCATTTTTAAAATCACCTTAAATTAACCTAATTCCCTCTCCTTTTTTCAAATCTATTTTAAACTTGAGTATTAAAAGACTTTGTTCAGCTTTAAACAATTTTTAGCTGCACCATAGAAAACACAGACTACATATATTAAGATATACAATGTACATTGTACACATATATATCTGCACTTTATGCAATACTAAAATCCACTTGAAATAACTTAATACCGACCTATCCTGGCAACCTTGACCTGTTGCATTAAGTATTCAAAGTTCACAATAAACTTGAACTTGCATGCATCTTTTTTTATCATTTTCTTTCAATATTTGCATAAAAGTATGATTTAAGATTAAAATTTAACCAAGGTATCTGGCACATTTGTAGCTTTAATGAAGTGACCTTGCAACCTGATAGACATCGGTCAAAATGTCTATGTCTGGTGTCAGGTTGTCCTTAATTCACTTTTGAAAATCAGTAATTCTTTGCTTTGTCTTGGTGAACAAATGGCAATTTATTCAATTCTCTATTTTGAAATAAATGAGAGGCCGACAGAAGAAATCACTGAAGTCCCATTACTGGTGAGGGCATAAATTCATATGCCCACATTCTTCACTTAGAACATATTTTTGTCATTTTATAAGAAATTGAATAGATGGTCAATATAACTAAAGTAGCAACAGAGAACATTATATCTGTCTGAGTACAATTTGGCAGCCTTGAGGAGCAGTGGTTATGAGGCAATATCCATTAAGTAATGATACAAATGTTATTGAAATCATGTCAGTCAGTGCAGGCTGTCACTATTAATTAAATAAAGCACAAACACAAATGTCTTTTATTTAATAATTTTATTGTAAAATATCCCACAATCAAACAAGTAATGACTTATCAGTGGCAGAAGTTATTATTATCACCCTAAACATACATCAACACCTTGGGGAAGTGCGATCAGAAGCACACCCTAGAGGAGTGTATCAGAACTAACCACACCCTGGAGAAGTGTGAATCAGTGCTGATAACAACACCCTAGAGGATTGTATCAGAACTAACCACACCCTGGAGAAGTGTGAATCAGTACTGACAACAACACCCTGGAGGATTGTATAAGAACTAACCACACCCTGGTGAAGTTTGAATCAGTACTGACAACAACACCCTAAGGAGGGGCATAAGAACATTCCAAACCCTAGGGGAGTGTGACCAGAACTTACCAAACCCTGGGGGAGTGTGATGTGTGATCAGAACTGACAACACCCTAGGGGAGTGTGATCAGAACTTACAACACCTTTAGAAAGTGTGATAAGAATTTACAACTACACTCTAGGAGAGTGTAATAAGAATTTACCACACCTTTAGAAACTGTACTTTACAACTACACCCTTGGGGAATGTAACCCAAATTTACAATTACACCCTAGGGGAGTGTAGTCAGAGCTTTCCACACCCTAGGGGAGTGTATATCAGAACGTACCACCTCACAAAATTTACAACTGCACCCTTTGGGAGCAGGTGAATATATTCACAACCACACACAGTGAAATCATAATTCATAAGTTTAACCTTTCCTGCATTAAAAGGACTTAAAACATTCTTTGAGGTATCTACAACTATGAGGAAGTAAACTTTTTTACAATGAAATGTGAACATGGACATTTGATCTTTTAAAATGACCTTGACCTTGGGTGAAGACACAGGAATAGTATGAAACATTGTCTAGAAGAGAAGCCCATGTGTATAAACTGTCTTTGGTATATCTGTAGTTATAAGGCTGTTAGCTTGGACAATGAAGTACAGACATTTCACATTGTCTATGGAATGATGCAGATTTTTGAACTTTCATTTTAAGAATCTCCAATAATGTTTATCTTAAACAGTCCTTTTAATGCAGTGGAATTACGGTCATAGGAAGGCTGTATTGGAAGAGATATGGTTTTGATATCATAACTAAAAAATTATCAACAAAAGACATTGACAAAATAGACTTGACTGTACAATCATGTCATGGTGTTCAACTTAAAACAAGAACTTGAGATTTTTGAGTGCTGGACAAGTACATTTAATAAGTTAATCAGGTACATTATCTACAGGTACAGCAGTATAAAGCAGTAATCTTTTTTTCTTTCTTTCCTGGTGTCACAACTAGCAAATTAAAAATAAACAAAACGTACCTAATTGGTTGCCCTGCACCTGTTGAAAATACTGCTTAACTGAATTGAATTTTGTTGAAAATTAACTAACTCTGTGTGATCCCTTATCTAAAGGCAGGAGAATACAAATACTATTTGGATAGACATCAGTATTTTTTATTTTTTTAGGGCAATTAGTAGATAATTATTTATTTATATTGTCGTTTCTTGTGTCTTATTGTTTTTTACTTTAGACAAAGACAGAATTTGTCAAACAAAAGTCAACACAAGTCGGTAATGTAAACATATAAGTACATTGTAGATGTACTTTCAAACAAATTTTTATGAAATTATACCATTCATTTACCGAATTTCTCACACAACACTTGTTAACACAAATTAATTGATTTGCAAGGTGATTAGGTAAACATGTACATGTATATATAATGAAATGAAAAAATAAACATTCACATTTTTCTCCAGATTATTGCTTTAAATTGCCCAAATAAAATCACTGTCAAATCACAAAACCTCAGATCTAGAACCTATTCCCTTTGGTGACTAGAAACAGGGGGAAAACATGCTGTATTTTTCCGCTTCAAATCATTATTTTGCATGCTCAACAACTTAAAACATGATACAAAGCTTTGTAAATAGAGCTTTAAACTGCAAAAACAGGACTGTGAAATAAAAGACAGAGATACACATTCTGAAAATGTTAATAATTATGCCATGTACATTTCAAACAAAAACTTAACATCACCGAATAAAGGCAGAGTATTTTGATTCCTCATTTCATCCTAAATATGCAAGAAAAAATTCACGAGGGGAAAAAAAGCGGATAACCTATCGGATTAAAAATCACCTGTTACATGGTTTCGTTTAATATGACGTAATATACCTAGAAATTACATGGTATTGTTGGCTACATGCCATGTGACAGATGATATTAATCTGACTGGTTGCTACAATAAACTTTTAAAGCAATTAAAATGCGCTGCCTAACTTCATCAAGTTTCTCCATAGCACATTGCAGAACAAAATAGCAACCTTGAATTTTGTTTGAACAGATCACTGTGGTACCGTCAAGTGGGTATTCACTTTTATACAATATTTCTTAAACATTTCTTTGATCTTACAACAGCTATTCAGTCCGATATCAGGAAACGCAAAATAATAACAGCTACCAGTAATATAGTCATTTTGACAAAGTATAAAAATATAATTAATAAATGTGAAAAAAAATCATATATGGTACTCATATATCATTTCTGTATATAAAATTCACCCACAACAATTCTACATGTAAATGTTAATGTTTCACGAAATAGTTTTGTAACTTGGTCACAAAATTGATATATGAATGATTTCCCTCATACTATGGCTCACCGTTCACAACACCCGCTTACAGGTACTAGTAACATACATCATTTCACATCACTTCTATCACAGTAGTTTTCAACAACTTCCACTCCAAAACAACTAAATATAAAAGAAGCACTTTTTTAAAAACTGCTATCGTATGATATGGGGAAGAAAAGGAGAAAAAAAATGCACATATACACAAAGAAAAATAGAATCTGCAAATTATATAACAAATTAAGTAGAGATGGAAGCCATTACAAACATACCAGCAGTGTCATGAATGAAAGTCCACGGAGGGATACACTAGGTCTCCTTCATGCTCACTTCGGTCTATAAAACCTTAAACCACCAAGTAGTATTTGCATTCAAAGTTACAAAAACAAGTTAGGAAATAAATGAATTTATACCAAAAAACAAATGATAACCCAAAATACAAATTGACCCCAAAAACTTAACTATGAGTTATAACCAATGAAGCTATGACTGGCTATCTCCATGTGCATTATTGGAATAAAGTGCATGTATTTTTTTTCTCTCTAAGTAATATGAATACCTTGATATATAAAATCCCATCTTTAAAATGATAAAATATACCTCAAATTATAATATATTTCATATTTTGTACTTTTATACATTTAAAATACAGCCAGTCGTTTTATAAGTTTGATGGGTAGACTTTTTCTATTTATGACAGACTGCACTGCTGATAATACTTACACTATATTTTAATATATAATAGTTATAATATCGATAGCATGCTTAATACACATCCGAGGTTGGGTGTTCAAATTTTAATTATTTCTTTTCTCATTAAAACATACTCAAAACTTAAATCTAAAGTAACCATTTCAATTGAAATCATACATAAAATTAGACATATTTCTAATTCCGTGCAATTTTAATCCAGGGTATCCGTGCCCCTGTTGATCTATTTCAAAATAACAATGAAGAAAATATAATTACTAAAACTGTAGCAGCACCAATACAATATCAGTAAGTACAACCAAGACAATACTGGGTTGATGTTGATAAAAACCTGTAAATTTATCGCATATCCTTTTCTACAGCATTAAAGCTAGCACGAGGTAGCATGACCTGGAGCAGTGAAGATGGTACTCAAGTTATCTACTTTTGTACAAATGAGTACAGTAAATCCCTAATAAAATGCTCTTGTACAAATGAGTACAGTAAATCCCTAATACAATGCTCTTGTACAAATGAGTACAGTAAATCCCTAATACAATGCTCTTTGCTTAATTTGCCACCTACCTTACCGTCAACATATGTCAAGGTCCCCTTCCCTAATTTCTAAACACTTCCTTCAGGTGTCTACTTTATGTATGGCTAAACCCTTTTAAACGACAACATCTGGCTGGACAGACAGTGACAGTATAGCAATGTTTTATTGTACTGGAATACACTCAGAACCTTGGCACCAGTCTAAAGGTACTCCTGTTAGGGGCTATTGTTTGAAAGGTAAAAGGTACTCAAGCAGCTTTCAGAAACTCGTTGTCAGAGTAACATCGGTGTGCAGCTCTCTCAACACACTGACTACTTAGCACCTAGAATCATGGGATTCAATTTACATGTTTCAAAATTGAGATCAAAGAAAACAAATACTGCTTCAATTTTCCCCAAAACAGCTACAGTTTACAAATGTCAATCTGCATTATAGCATCACTTAGTGGTGTACGACTGTATCAACATCATAAATATGACATTAACCAACCTACACATGCAAAAAAGCCCATCCTAATTACCAACAGTCTGATGTATCAGTTGTTGTGTCTTCCTTGTAAATAAGTAATCCATGTACTAGACTGTATGTTTTTAAATTGCAAGAAGAATGACAAAACACTTATATTTTGCAAATATTCATGTCTGGCATAAGAATGAAACAGTTTGAAAACAAAGATATCACTTAGGAAAAAGAAAATTCTTCAAAACAGAAGTGATGTAATAACACCTATCATATGTATTGTAGCAAGCAACCTAAACAAGTCTGTTCTATACAATAATGATAAAATTATAGTTAAGAAATAAATATATAATTAATATCATATCATTCATGAGCATGGTTTTTCTTGATTTTTTGTTTTGTTAACTGTGAAACCTACAAGTAAAACACAACTAAATATATTGAATGTAATTGTTCAATTAAGGACCCTAGAATCTCTTTATGATTGGTGATTAAAAATAAGTTTTGCATCTGACAGCTAAAATAAAGGGAACCTCTAATTATTTGCCCAACAGCTAACCCTTTTAGTGGTGAGGATACAAAGGTTCTTATATGAGATATACTATAGGAGAATACATTAACAATATCAGACTCAGACACAGGTTGTATGTCTGCTCAAAATATCCTCTCTGCTATCCACACGTGATTCTATACATGAGATATGACGATGTGTATTAAGGCTGGGGCGACCATCAATCCTTGGCCTCGAGGAGTGCAGCTGTCTCCTGGTCAGGGAGGAATGTTTTGAGGAGTGAATGGAGAGTGATCAGGGACTCTTGTCGTCCAACGTGTTCCAAGTAACGTCCATTCCATACAGACTTGTACCGTTCCAACAACTCCAGCAACCTAAGTTACACAAACAAAGAGAATTAATATTTTATCACTGCACGAAATAATATCTGTATACAGTATTTATTTCTTTTATACATTATCATACCTAGCCTGCTGCCTAATTTATCTTTGCTGAGCAGACAGATTAAGTATTACAAGAACAAAGTTAAGAAAAGAGTTTGTCTTGAGAAAAACAACTTACCTACTTAAGCCTGGTCCAAATTTCACAAATGTTCCTTTCCTTAGATTTTTTTATAAGTATTAGCAATGGTTTCCATAGGGAGAAATGGAAGTTATTAAAGAGAGCTTTTTATCCAAAATAATTTGTGTAAGCAGCCCCTGATCCCTACATGTTTAAGTATTATAAGAAGACATTCTATAAAGGAGGTAGATGAATTAGTGAAATTCCTACCTAGCACTTGGCTAGTGTCATCTATTGCTGATAAATCAGGTATTACAAGAGTACAAGCTGCCATAATATAGGAAAGGATAAAATTAAGGATATTAAACTCCCTACATGTATACCTACCTGTTGGCAAGGTCCGTCTTTGCTGTAGCTGGTAGGTTACTAATCCCAAAGTTTACAACAGGAAACCCATTGTGACCCGCAGGGTTCCGTCCCGATACAATTAATGCACGGCAAATCCTGAGAAAACAAGGAATACATTATAACTGAAATTGAATATTTAGATATCTGCATATTACTTCAAAAATGTTTTTTTTTTTTTATGTTAAAACGTGTTAAGTGATTAAATTTGTTTTACAGTAGAACCAGTCGCATTTGGAAAAAGAAGATGAGATTAAAAAAGTAATACTAGTGATAATGCCTACCTTTTCAAAAGTGGGGTCATAAGCAATTGATAAATTTAGTTACATAAAAGAATGAGACAAGTCTGTTAAACATTTGGGGTCCCTTGCTATTCCCTTGTAACCACTAAAAGTGATTCAAAAGACAAAGAAGCACTATAGCAAAACATAGTTTGATATGAAGTCAGTAAATTCACAACTTACAATATGATGTGTAAACAATAGATGAGGCCAAAGTGATGGTCATAAAGAAAAGGTGATTCAAGTTAGGAAATAAAACCAACTTGAGGTTATAAAGGGATACTCACCTTGTAGCATACATCATTAGGTCACAAGTCAGCTGAAGTTCAGCCAGAATGAGGTCATTACAGGTACATTTCATGTCTGTGTTTTCCAGTTCTGCATGACATCGTTTTACATGCTTCATTGTCCTCTGAAAGAGCAAGAACAGAACTGTAAAAGTGGAGCAGTGGGTATGAAGAAAACTCACTGGTAACAATATTAAAACCATTTAGAAGCAAATTTATTTTTCCTACTTGAACACTGAAAATGAAGTTATATACGGGGTATTCTGAACTGGCAAATGAGCTCCAAAAACAACTTTTTATTTAGATTATCTGTCAAGAAATAGGATCAAAATGGAGTGAATTTGTTTATTTAGGATTTTGTCCCATTGCAACAGGATGTTGCCCCATTGCAACAACTAAGGTCATATGAAGATAGTATCTATCAACAGATGATGGAGTCACCTTGAAGTGCTATCATATTGAAATGTCATAACCTGGACAGTTTAAAATGGCTCTCCACTCAGTCACATTATTTTGAGAACAGGCCCACTAGAGATGTAAAGGAGATACTGCCAATAGGTATGAGTAGGTAGATGAGAAAAGCAAAGATGGAAGTCTCAAGTGCTGCAGTTAGGAATAAAATCTAGTTTCATACTGTTACCTGTATGGCATCCATGGTGATATGTTCAAGTGGTACAGTGTCTGGACCGATGAGAAACTGGAACAGGGTGGAGCCCTGGTCATCTGGAAGTCGTTGACAGTCATTACCTGTAACAGGCAGCAAATCAACTTTTACTTCATAAGTGTTAATAATGTGTTAAGGGGAAATTGAATATAGAAGCACACAGGCAAACAATCTACATGGGAACTGGGTAAAATTGACATGATACCAGTATCTTAAAAAGTTCTTCAAAATACTGTGAATATGACAGCTAAGCTTGACATCAGTTTTGGCAGTTGTACTCCATCACTGGCTGCAATAGTCGGTTACGTGGCGTGTGGTTCTGATTGTCCGTGGGCATAGTGCATTAGTAAGTTTCTTGCTTTAATAGTGGTATATAAGGCTAACAATGTCTGCAGGCACAACATATACCATAGGGTTCTGCTAAGGTATAGACACAACATATCCCATAGGGTTCTGCTAAGGTATATGCACAACATATACCATTGGTTTCTGCTAAGGAATATACACAACATATACCGTAGGTTTCTGCTAAGGAATAGACACAACATATCCCATAGGGTTCTGCTAAGGTATATGCACAACATATACCACAGGTTTCCGCTAAGGTATAGACACAAGAGATACCATTGGTTTCTGGTAAGGTATAGGCACAACATATACCATAGGTTTCTGCTAAGGTATAGACACAACATATACTATAGGTTTCTGCTAAGGTATAGGCAGAACATATACCATAGGTTTCAGCTAAGGTATATACACAACATATACCATAGGGTTCTGCTAAGGTATAGGCACAACATATACCATAGGTTTCTGCTAAGGTATAGACACAACATATACCATAGGTTTCTGCTAAGGTATAGGCACAACATATACCATTGATTTCTGCTAAGGTATAATGTACCTGACTGTCCAAGACACAGTATACAAGGACAGTTTCTGATATAAAGTGGTCTACTGTATATACCCGACTGTCCATATGCATGGGCACAGTATATGAGGAATGTTTCTGGCAAGTAGTACAATACCTGACTGTCCACGGGCACAGCGTATGAGGTAGGTTTCTGCTCGACCAAGCTCCACTATCACATGGCCCACTGTTGACTTGACATCTCTGAACACGTAACGATTCATTAACTCTGACAAATTGCTGTAGAGGTAATCCTGCCAAGAAATAAAGAAAAATTCATAATGAGGTAATTATATGTCTAGTTCTTAAATCCAAATTCATGCTCCTCAATTCAAATTTTTTTTTTCTGTTGCAAATCAGATATATTCACTATACTTTTGAGATTTGATATATACATTATATATATATGTGTTAAAAGATATGATCTTTATTCCTTCAGTATTTTAAGTTGTCCACGAGTGGAAGGAAATGTATCATACATTAATGTCTCACTTGTATGCAATTCATTATCTATAAACTTGATTCTTATAAGTTACATCTCTGGTTTATATATGTTAATGTTGTATCACTTTGTCCCTAAAATACACAATCTACCTGGTGACAGCTAGAGTTCCAGCCGAGTCCAGCCCCCAGGAGGAAGCCCGGCCAGGAGAAGGGCTGGTGAGTCAAGTGACCCTTTCCTGACCAATTACATGTTACCATGCCGATAGCCCCTTGATTGACAGCACATTTGGCAGCTCTGTAGATGTTGTTTACTGCTGCTTCAGGACAGCCAGAGAAACTGTAGAAAGACGTAACAACTAACAGATCAGCAGTAAATAAAAGTGAGTAATCAAATTTACACATTTGCTCACATTCGTCAACTTACCACTACATATACTGACAATTAAAACTGTCTTAATAATGTTTAGAACTTAATTCAGCTTTATCTGGTGTCCTTTTCTCATTTATAAAAGAAACAGTTTGAGGTTTCTGAATGAAATATTCATTGTCTAAAGCAAATATTAAGGACATGAATCAGGTAATTATTAATTGTTAATTACCATCATTTCTTCTTTTGAAAGAATGTGAAAAATTGTTATTTCAGGACAACGAAAGGAAACAGCACCAATTGAATTTTTTTTAAAGGCAACAGACTATAAAATTTACAAAAAACTATTAATATCAAACAAAATAAATATTCAAAATTTTCTTTTATGTTTTCAAAACGGTTTAGAACAAGAGTACTTTTTTTTTTACTGTAAATGGATTAAAATCACAAGTAGATACAAACATGGCAATAACATTGATATGATCATACCTGTTCCATGAAGCTGTGCCAGGACACACAGAGAAATTAATACTGAAAGTAGAAAATGTGTTGCATTATACAAAATGTAGCACAAGTCAAGATCTGTTTAGATATCTGCCATTCAGTGTAAAAATATGGGACTATCTGAACAATTTGACAGTAGTGAATGTAGATTTTTTTTTTAAAATAAATTGTAAAGCAGATTCAAATCTTTTAATATTTTCTTGAATGTACCCTATATATATAGCTACTGCATACACTGAACCCTACACCACACCAACTTACCCTAGATCAGACAACGGCCGGCAGAATCTTCGGAAATCATAGTCAGCCTGAAACAACAATACAAACATTCAGAATCTGTTGTGTTAAAGATTTTCATACAAGCTGCAATGGTTACTCATGTTTCATGACACCAAAATACTGACATGAATCTCATGTTTGAGGAATATCGCGCATATCAGCACCCTCAGCCAGACACGCCTCTCTTTCCTCAGTTTACTCTCCCTGCTGTCAGACAATCGACCAAAACTGGTGGTCACTCACAAGATGAGAGCAGGGGATTGTTTTGTCTTAAGAATATAATGAAAAAACACAAGGTTTCTAGCATAGGGCCTCATAAAGTTGGCATTTTTGGGTGCTAGTGGTACCACCTCTAATTGATGTGGTAGCTGATTAATCTTTCTACCTTTTTGTCGGTCAAAACCTTTTATAACTTTTACTTTCTATTATTAATGACAGTCTTTTAATTTTATCACATGAACAGTAAACAAACTGATAGTCATGTTGTTTAATCACATACAAAATTTCAATGCTAAATCTCTTTCCATAATTTACAAGATTTTCAGGCAAATTCCCACGACTAAATTCAAAAATGTTTATCTTTTTCCTCTTAAATATTTTACTTGAACTAAACGTTGTATATGTGTTTATGAAAATTTCGGAAATTCCTTCAGAATTTTCATTATGGAGTGATTAATCAGTAACACTAAACTGTGATTCATATACCGAACTACAGAAAAAGGAGTAGCAAACCTTGTTCAGTATTTTGTATATGGTTGGAAAATATCAAACATTGGAAAATATCAAACATTGGAAAATATCAAACATTGGAAAAATATCAAACAGCTTGAGAATCAACATGTACAAAGGCTGTGGCTAAAACTTAAGGAAAATCTGTTTGAGGAATATCGCGCATGTCAGCAACCTCAGCCAGACACGCCTCTCTTTCCTCAATTTACTTTCCCTGCTGTAAGACAAATGACTAACAAACAATGGCCACTGACATATTGACAGCAGAGTGACAGTGTTACTACGCACTAGCTCATAGCATGTCCTAAAGACAATTTTTCTAGCAGTGTCTTATACAACCGGGATTTAATGAATGTGTGCCAGTGGTTTCTAAAGTTTCTGTTGGAAGTGAAACAACTTTCTAAGTTTTAGTTATACACAAAACATTACTTTCAGAACCAAACATCCCCTTAAAACTTTGGTAAGATCAAATGTACAGTGGAGGCTAGTAAAGCTTTTCCTTCCCTTTGGCTGGAAAATTGGGACAATTTCAAATAAAATGAGTGAAGTGTTCCCTAAAACACTAGCTGGATATTTTTTAATGCAAGCCAAATGCTAGCAGTCTGATTATTTTACAGCTTGTATAAAGGCTGTAGCTAAAACTTCATTAAGAATCTGTATGAGGAACATCGCGCATGTCAGCAACCTCAGCCAGACACGCCTCTCTTACCTCAATTTACTGTGCCTGCTGTCAGAATAATGACTAACAAAGGATGGCCACATACATATTGACAGCAGAGTGGGAGTTCTGTTGGACACTTTAACTCACTTTAATTACACGAGAGATTCTGTAGAGAAAATTCTGTTGGCAATTGCTATCAACGATGAAATAGCATTCTTTCAATCACAAATTGAAGTATTCACAAAATCCTACTGACTTAGCTTGTGAAATAAAGTACAAGTGAATATAAATTGATTTACAGCATAAGTGGATGGTAGTTGTTGTAACACACTCACCTATATATCGTACTCATTGACACGACACCGGGTGGTAGCTGTTGTAACACACTCACCTGTATACCACACTCGTTGATGACGACGCTGGGTGGTAGCTGTTATAACACACTCACCTGTATACCGTACCATTTGAGGACAACGCTGGGTGGTAGCTGTTATAACACACTCACCTGTATACCGTAACATTTGAGGACAACGCTGGGTGGTAGCTGTTGTAACACACTCACCTATATATCGTACTATTTGATGACAACGCTGGGTGGTAGCTGTTGTAATACACTCACCTATATACCGTACTGTTTGATGACAACGCTGGGTGGTAGCTGTTGTAACACACTCACCTATATATCGTACTCATTGATGATGACGCTGGGTGGTAGCCGTTGTAACACACTCACCAATATACCGTACTATTTGATGACAATGCTGGGTGGTAGCTGTTGTAACACACTCACCTATATACCGTACTCATTGATGATGACGCTGGGTGGTAGCTGTTGTAACACACTCACCAATATACCGTACTATTTGGTGACAACGCTGGGTGGTAGCTGTTGTAACACACTCACCTATATACCGTACTGTTTGATGACAACGCTGGGTGGTAGCTTTTGTAACACACTCACCTATATATCGTACTCATTGATGATGACGCTGGGTGGTAACCGTTGTAACACACTCACCAATATACCGTACTATTTGGTGACAACGCTGGGTGGTAGCTGTTGTAACACACTCACCTATATATCGTACTCATTGATGATGACGCTGGGTGGTCGCCGTTGTAACACACTCACCAATATACCGTACTATTTGGTGACAACGCTGGGTGGTAGCTGTTGTAACACTCTCACCTATATATCGTACTCATTGATGATGACGCTGGGTGGTAACCGTTGTAACACACTCACCAATATACCGTACTATTTGGTGACAACGCTGGGTGGTAGCTGTTGTAACACACTCTCCTGTATACCGTACCATTTGATGACAACGCTGGGTGGTAGCTGTTGTAACACACTCTCCTGTATACCGTACCATTTGATGACAACGCTGGGTGGTAGCTGTTACAACACACTCACCTGTATACCGTACCATTTGATGACAATGCTGGGTGGGAGCTGTTGTAACACACTCACCTGTATACCATACTCGTTGATGACAATGCTGGGTGGTAGCTGTTGTAACACACTCCCCTGTATACCATACTCGATGATGACAATGCTGGGTGGTAGCTGTTGTAACACACTCCCCTGTATACCATACTCGTTGATGACAATGCTGGGTGGTAGCTGTTGTAACACACTCCCCTGTATACCATACTCGTTGATGACAATGCTGGGTGGTAGCTGTTGTAACACTCTCACCTGTATACCATACTCGTTGATGACAATGCTGGGTGGTAGCTGTTGTAACACACTCTCCTGTATACCGTACCATTTGATGACAACGCTGGGTAGTAGCTGTTATAACGCACTCACCTGTATACCGTACCATTTGATGACAACACTGGGTGGTAGCTGTTGTAACACACTCACCTGTATACCATACTCGTTGATGACGACATTGGGTGGTAGTTGTTGTACCAGCTCTGTATTGAGTTCGTGTAGAGGGTAGCCACACAGCTGTATGGTGTGGTGTTGACTCAGTGGTAACATCTTCACACAATCTGTAATGTCCAGCTGGCCTTCTTCCGTGTCCAGTACAAAGCTACTCAGGCGTGGCCCCAGACTCACAAATCTGATTAGTAAAACAATGTAGACCTACTCTGATGTTCAAAAATTACCTTTTAATTCACTATATGCAAATATAACACTTGAAAAGTGGGTATACGTAATGGCCTTCATATTGTTTTTATAAAATATAATTTTAGAGTTATCGATTTGGTTTCAAAGGCTGATTTCACTTGATGCAGACTTCAAAGCTCTTCAACAAAATCTCTTGTTGCACTTAAAAACTGTTTCAAACATGATGTTGTTCCTATTCCAAAATTTTTAACAGTAGGAGATAGAAAATTTACAATTTTACACACCAGACTTAGGAACAAATGAAGCAGTCTTCAATATGACATTTATAGAGTTAACCTCAGTGATAACCCTTTATGTTTATGTGGGGAAGTAGAAAATGTACATCACTATTTCTATACATGTCCAAATTACTCAACTGTAAGAATTCACCTGGTAAGAAATCTTAAGAACTTAAATCTTCCAGAGATCCTCCTAACAGACATGAACACACTTCTCTGAGGTAATCATGATCTCACTTTTGAACAAAACAGTAAAACCTTTAACTATGTGTGTAAGTACATATTAAGGATACAAACCGCTTCTAGTAAGTAGTCTTAATTACAACAATTACATCATGTTCGATGAATTAAATTTTCTTTATCTGTGTGAAAGCCTCGGTTAATTCTCTATGAGTAGGTCGGGGTACAGAGAAACAGTCGTCAACAACCTATTTTAATAATTCAACTTAAATTTTAAAAAATAAAAAAATAAACAAATGAAATGTACATGTTAAGACAGCTATGATGTACGTAAAATGTATTTAAGTTAGGAGAGGGCTTAATTAAGTTGTAAGAACTTGTGCCCAATCCATTTTGTCACTTTCAAGGCAATAAAAATATGTTTAAACAAAGCTCTTTTTAACAAAATTAATTGTTTTCAAAAAGTGTAATGAAAAACACATCATGTTAAAAAGCAGATAACTCTTGTTTGAATTGGAAAACGAGAAAGTTTGTGTGTTGTACATACTGTGAATCAGGGAAACAAGAGAGAAAATCCTGGAAAACATCATACAACTCTTCAATGTCCTCAAACTGGACCAGTGGCGCCACCTCTAGGATAGGAATAACCTGGATACCAAGGGCAATGCAGTGGTTCTCAAACTCCATTAAAGCACTGTAATGTAGAAGGCAAACAAATCATGAAGTTATGTTTGCTTCTTACAAGATATTATATCACTGATACAAATGTGAAATTAAGTAAAGTCTTTACCAGAATGAATTCTTTAACAAATAGCTATGACAATATCCATCAAAGCTGCGCATAAAGTTCATACATAATATTTCCTAGGATTGTATGCAGAAAATGAAAATCTCAATGATGCAGGTTAATTATCATGTTTCATATTTTAGAACAGCATTGATATATCTCCAGCCCAAGTCATTGTTGACATATCTCTAATCCAAGTCATTGTTGACATATCTCCAGTCCAAGTCATTGTTGACATATCTCCATTCCAAGTCATTGTTGACATATGTCCAGCCCAAGTCATTGTTGACATATATCCTGTCCAAGCCATTGTTGACATATCTCCTGTCCAAGTCATTGTTGACATATTTCCTGTCAAGGTCATTGTTGACATATCTCCAGTCAAAGTCCTAGTTGACATAGCTCTAGTCCAAGAAATTGTTGACATATATATGTTCAGTCCAAGTCACTGTTGATTTATCTACAGTCTAAGTCATTGTTTACATATCTCCTGTCCAAGTCACTGTTGACATATCTAACGTCTAGGTCATTGTTGACATATCTCCTGTCCAAGACATTGTTGACATATTTCCTGTCAAAGTCATTGTTGACATATCTCCAGTCAAAGACCTAGTTGACATAGCTCTAGTCCAAGAAATTGTTGACATATATATGTTCAGTCCAAGTCACTGTTGATTTATCTACAGTCTAAGTCATTGTTTACATATCTCCTGTCCAAGTCATTGTTGACATATTTCCTGTCAAAGTCATTGTTAATATATCTCTAATCAAAGTCATTGTTGACATATCTCCAGTCCAAGTCATTGTTGACATAGCTCCAGTCCAAGTAATTGTTGACATATAAATGTTCAGTCCATGTCATTATTGATTTATCTACAGTCTAAGTCATTGTTTACATATCTCCTGTCCAAGTCACTGTTGACATATCTCACGTCTAGGTCATTGTTGACATATCTCCTGTCAAAGTCATTGTTGACATATCTCCAGTCAAAGTCCTAGTTGACATAGCTCTAGTCCAAGAAATTGTTGACATATATATGTTCAGTCCAAGTCACTGTTGATTTATCTACAGTCTAAGTCATTGTTTACATATCTCCTGTCCAAGTCATTGTTGACATATCTCACGTCTAGGTCATTGTTGACATATCTCCTGTCCAAGTCACTGTTGACACATCTCCTGTCCAAGTCATTGTTGACATTTCTCCAGTCCCTATAAGATGATTCTTATCTAGTTGACATTATCTCGCCCCATACCTTTTGCTGTACACGAGCTGCCATTTTGGTGTCTTTTGAGTGGAGAATCGACAGAAAAGATGAATCTGACAAGTAGAAACTTCAGTATTAGACATATAAATCTGTCGATTAATTGTGGGTGTAAATTTGTGTTGGTGTATTCATTATGGTTTATATCATGTACTTTCTGTGCTGTATCTCCTCCATGGTGTGGTACTCAGCTGATCACATACACGGATTACATACATATGGTTATGTCAGCAACAGTTCAGCCTTTATGTTAAAGTGATATCATATGTTTTCCTCATCTTATTGACTGGATGAATAGAATCTCTCACTCTCATGGGTTAAGATAAGGGAAACTTTTCTCGAGGGTTGAGACTCCCAATCACACCTCAAGAGGTGAATATTTCTTTTTCTCTGACCCTGTTCACTCGTTGTGTATCATATACATAATGTACTGTTAACGTTACAGGCTAAATGCAGGGTTGACATGACGTTGATGCGTTCTTGACGTGACCTCATACAATTGTTATGAATAAGGGAATCCCCCCCCCCTTAGGGGAAAAGTGTTGATACTTCTGTTCAGGGTAAGCGAAAATAGATTATCACACATTATAAGCGAAGGGATAACTCTCATCTCTTTAACAACATCACCTGGTTGTATTCTATTTAAAAATATTTTTATCATTTTATCACTTGATACATCTGAATCAACAAGTATTAGGAGAGTTACCTTGCTACTTTCAAATCCACAATTATTTTCTTACCTGGTTGATTTTCAGCAATGCTAAGTATTCAACAGTAGTTTTAAGAACATCCTGAAAAGAAAAACACTTCCATTAACACTAGGTAGGCTGCTAACACTATTCTAGAATAGTTTTTCAAAACAGAATATCAGTTCTTGATCAGAGAAAGGTGAAGCAGTCTCAAGCATCAATACAAGGTATTCCATATGGGACTTCTGAACATGTTAACATTCATAAAGTGAATGATGACTTCACATGGGTAAAGTCACAGTTGTAGAAAGTGTTATGAGAGGATGAATACTGTGTGTTATAAATCATACCTTAGTTTGGCTGCTCCATCATGTCACATAAAATTTTGTACTAGTCTGCCAAGATCATGTTTTGTGTGGAGCGAAAAAACACAAAAATAACAGATATATCTATTTATATACTAAAAACATTACTTATAATAGATTCATGCTGTTAGATCGCCTGATAAAGTTACATTGTCATAGTACCCTGAAAATACAACCAGGTATCTACACAATGACTTTTACTTCAAAGGAATACACTTCCACTTTACAATGACATCAGCATTAAGTGTTTAGAAAACAGATCTGTAACCATGTTATATTTATATGATAGATACAAAATATATCTTACCATACTTGACAGGCGTCCCATAGATATGTCTAACAGTACACCTCTATAGGTGATGTCTGGCCAGTCATCCACCTACAAATAAATAAATATTGTCTGATAATCTGATTACTCATTCTACTAAAATCTTTAGAAGGGCACTAAACCGTTATGAAGCTGAAAAGTCAATAATGTATTTCGAGTTGCTGTTAACATACCAAGATCGGGGGGATAGTGGTGCGACCCTCGTCAAAGTACAGAAGGAACAGCTGGTAGATGGTTGATATGGCACTGTGTAGGGCATTCAGGTCTCCACAGATCACCTTGAGCTGTAACATACAAATTAAACATCTAAAAGGAAAATGTTAACCTGTTTTATTTTGGCCCTTAAACAGGGCACCGATTATAGTCAGTAATGTTGAATATCAACATTTTGAGTATCTATTTATTTTAGTTTATATACTTTGAAATGTAGAACTGATATAAAAACATAAAAGAGAACATACCGGGTACAAATTTCAATGCTTTATTATTTACAAAAACTTACAACGAAAGCCAGGTCACATATTTATGTCCAGAAAAACACGTTTTGGAGAAAGTCAACAGAAGGAAAAATACACCAGAATCTTCAGTGTTTTTTTCTTCTGAAGATGGGCTTGTAAAGCAAGATCGGTAAAACAATGTGACCTGTACCAAGATTCTGGATTAAACATATGGTTCACATGCCAATTTCAGAAAGGAAAAATGGTGACCAAGTATAAAAGCTAGAACAGACTAGGATCTGGTTAAGACAGATTATATTGTACATTTAATTACAGTATGTAAACTCTCCAACTGGAGAACAATTCAACAAGGTGCAGAAACATTCAAGCGACCCTAGATCACAATTTAATGAGGTAAAACTATTACAGGTTACAAACTGTTTTATGGCACCTTTCTTTGTTTCTCATCATGAGCATGTGTTCTGAGCGAGTTATTTGATGGCAGAAAGGTTGTCTCTAAAACCATTTTGGATTTGTGAACATAATAACTTTGGTAAAAAATATCTGAGTAACAGTTTTGATCCAACTGCATGTCCCATATTGTCTACCTGTATTGGGAATCTGACAGTTACCTGAGTACTGGAGACGATGAGTTTGTAGGAGGCCCAGAGGGGACAGAGGCGTTGGTTGACGTGACAGAGGATATGTGGTACGCGGGTATCTGAGAGCGGAGTAAAGGTGTCCACTTCTAGCTCGTACCCCAGGAACTCAAACATCTCTTTACGACTGTTCAGTTGTTTTATGATATCTCTACAACCTGGATCAAACCAAACAGGAATATTACATTACCAAGATTGCTATGAGTTGTACAACTTTAACAATGATAGGAAATTTTCTTTCAAACATAGGAAACAGGGAAAGTTGAGTGTGGTCCTCACCAGTAAAACAGTAAACCAGTATTAATTTGTCCATTTTATGTATAGTATGCTGTGATGTAATAGTATTCATCATGAAAAACATGTCCTCATGATGGAGGGTGATAAAAATTCAAAGTTGAACTGCAGCAATCACTTCACTGTATACTGTATGTATCAAAACAAAATAAATGTCCCAGGTGTCTTTCTAGTTCAGCGTTTTGTTTGGTACGTTTTAGGCTGTATAGCTGAATCACATCCCAAAACCTCTATACCATAGTAAGATTTATACAAATCTAGTACTGCATACTGGGAAACTGTTGCTCAGTCAAACTTTTGCCCTTCCATGGTACGATAAATATACATAAAATTTTCGTTTTGCTCTTCACATGTTATTGCTTGTACATATAGAATGTTTGTTTCTACTTTTTTGCTGTCAAAATAAATTTGCCCTCATCATGGAGAACTACAAGGTGGATGTTAAACTGCGTGTGAACATTTCTCAGTGTACAGTATTTCTGACTTGGTAAAAGTTACACAGCATCAAACTTGCCACATTACATGTATAATGATATCTTTGTAGTTTTTATGTGTAGTATTACTATATAAAATTTACACTGACTGTGTGAGGGACCAGCAGACACGTAGACAGGAACGTTGGGCGTCTGAGGGGAGAACGGGTTGCCATCCTTCTGAAGGATGTGCTGTGGTTGTGGCCACAGTAACCCCATCTTCTCCTCTGTAACCACCTGTTGGATCTCATCCTGGTTGTAGGACAAACTTCTCTGTCAAGGTCAAACCAATTAATCAATGACAAGCTTATCTCTTATGAAAGTCTTAATTCTAAAAGGTCTTTGTGACATTCTTGTAGAACATTACATACCACTTTGCATGTAATTACTTTGGTAGAGAGTGACGTAATTCATTTTTTAAACATCTTTAACAATCATATCCAACAAAGGATCAATACAGTAAGCATTCACAAATCAACACACTCATGTACAACAGTATCCATTTTTGACGGTTTCTTCTATATATGTTGCACATCATAATTCGGCACCAACATTTTCTCCTGTATATACTGATTTAGTGATACACGGTACATTTAACTGCACCTGAACACTGAGGAATAAACAAAAGAAAAAGCAGAAATATTCAGGTTTATCTACAGAGTATGAAATACATATTTACAGGAATTTACAAAAATAAATCTAATATCACAATATCAATAATCAGTGCATAACACAAATATTCACAAATTCCGTACCATTGGAATGTTTACCTAATATGCACTATCATTAATAAATCTGCCAGCAAGGTCAAAATACTGACCATGAAAGTAGGTGTTTTGAGCTGCGGAGATTCAGGGACAGGACCGTTTGGAATGACACCATTAGGAGCGTTGAGGGGAGGGGTCTGGTCTGGGTCTTTATTCCCACTGTTCCCAACCAGCTTATCTCCTACAAAACAGGCAACACAGTTAATTCGTAAATAGCCAACTAACTTCAGCATCAATAGAATGAAACAGCCCAGTTTAATTATACAGATTTAATTGTACACTTGTACCAGCATATTTGGCAGAAGAAAACCCCCAGAATTGTTTGATAAATATATTTTATAAATCAAATTCAATAGCACCTTTATTAGTACACACATAAAAACAATATTTCTATTATGTATTATCTAAATATTTGAAAGATATTTCTAACATTGAGGCTTTGATTAAAACAAAGGAAACAATAGTATAATAGACAGTTTACCTATATGTAGCTCTGTGTTAGTCTGCTCTGGTTCCACGACAGGAGGTGGGTCCTTCAGCAGCTCCACAATCTCGGGAGCATCAGTTGTTAGAGTGATGGCAGTTTTATCTTTATCCTTCCTATAATAAACAAATCATAACCCAAACTGAAATCAAATTAGATTTGTGATAATTTCATTGACCTCTTGTTCCACATTTATGTGCATGAAGCCAAAATGCAAAGATGTTCAATTCTATTTTAAGAAATATAATTTTGTAAGCAAAACGTTTTTATTTTCTAAAGTGAAAACAGTATCACAAAGTGGATCATTATATATGCCCTCATTAATATATTTGTGAAAGGGAAAAACATATGGTTTCTATAGGATGCTACATTATTTCTATTCTAAATGATTATTATTTGAATAGCAAGGTTCACCTTCAAACTGAACTCCAACGATTTTTTTTAAATTTAGATTTCTTTTCTTGTAAATTAAGGACAATCTTGATGCATTTTTGTATTGAACCAAATGATCAGAACTTTGAAATGTCACTACAAAAATCTTCATCTGTATTTGAATACACAGGAAAGCTGAACTATGTATTGGATGTGTTGAAATGGGAAAAAATATTTTACTTCAATGACCAAGAATACAACAAGAGTTTCTTTTTGCCTTTTACTGGACTACAATATTTGTTGGGATCTTATCGTTTCTCTTCTTTCTAAACAATTTTCTTCTTCCTAATGTCTCCCTTGACTATACCTCACTTTTGGCCTTTGGTTGAGCATTCGCCCCTATGAGGAAGGCTTTGGGTTCTGTCCCCTGGCCGTTACAGTGATTGTTTCTTAATGCCCATATTTTTTTTCAAACTGTGTCACGATAATGCCATAGCTAAATTTTAGGAAAGTGTTCCCACTTTACGAATGGTTATACCAGTATTCATATGGTAATCATCACAAAGACCTAATCTCAACTCTACCAAAAGTGTGGGACTAATTACAGTCTATTGAATTTATATTGTATTAGGCCCTCCCTCTAACTCTTAGTCATGGATGCTAGTTCAGACAGATGGACAGAGTGATAAGGTAAAAAGCTCACTTTTTTAAAGGTGTATACAAAACTGTTTATGTGTTTATCTGTGATGGTGCTAATACATTGGTAAAATTGGTAAATAATTTTCATTTGATTGAGTACAAAGGGTATACACAATGCAGCCTCAACATCTGGACTACAGAATGTTGAGGCCCCATCGTTGACATCCTTTGTATGTACCTTCTGTGATGGGGCTCTATTGAATACTGTTGGGTATCCATCTTGGATTCCTTAAACAACCGATCTATAACCGAAAACAACCAGGACGTTGGTTCTCTCCTACTCTGTTAGGGCAATAATTTTATTTATATGAGTAGTTAAGATATTACCAACCCCGTTTGTATCGATAGGTTTGGATCTGCCCCATGTACCAGTAACTCTCTGACCACACCAAGATCCTTTCTCCGTACCGCATCATGTAAAGGTGTGTAGCCTGTCCCACTTAGTGTGTCCACCACAGCTCCTCGGGCTGGGCAAAACAAAACAAATTATAAGGGCATATAACTAATGCAAGTTGTCAGTGAGTTTAGTGGAATTAAATGTGCCTTAAACGAAATTCCTTTTTATTTCATTTTCATGCCATTTTGATTCCATGTCACTAAGGCATCTTGTCACAAATATGGTGTCCCTTTATCACAGATTGTCATGTATTATTGATATTAATGTGAAATTCCAGATACATGTACAGATATCATTGTGTTGATTGCAGGGATATGAATGTTGAAATGAAAAAGTTCATCACTTTGTATTGAATGAACAATTTAGATCAGAATGATTTAAGTTTTAAACTTGGCTAGAGGTTGACCAATCCACAACTAGTTTCTGGTTAATAAACATACCACAAAGGCACTGGACCATCTCTGCTGATCCATAGCTGGCCGCCCAGTGGAGCGGTGTGTTTCCACTTTCTGCACTGTCAGACAGATTGACATTTACACCAGAGGCTAGCAGCTGGCACACACGACCAACACTAAACAGAGAAAGGGTCAAGGTCACAAAAACAACAAGGAATTACAAACAATTACTGTAACATATCATTTTTATATACATGTAGGTAATTTCATTCAAATGGGTACCTGGTTATAACCCACACCTACTTGAGTATTGTGAAATACTGTGCTTTGTTTTATATGTGCATCTTAAGTTACACTGACATTTTCAAAGCCAAATAATATCATTTATCATGTGATGTCCTTTGAACTGAAAATCTGTAGGTGATGTGAAGTCTTAATTAGTACAGTAGGGTAATACCAGGCTTGATTTATTCGAAAAGAGAGTTGATTAAGGTCACATTGTACCAAGTTTTATGTTTCTATGGGTCATAATAAAGAAAAGGGAAATCATTATAGAGGTCACATAAAACAGATGTTTCTATACATTTTAAATTGACACATAGGTTGTGTCTTTCCTACTTTGATTGTGCTGTAGCCTGTAGAAGTTCCTCGTTGAACACTGTTATGATAAGGCTGAACTCTGATGAAAGGTCAAAGGCAGTCTTTCCTTGTGCATTGTGTATACCAGGGTCAGCACCTGCAGACAGAAGGGCACGTACTATGTCTGTTTTACCACTCTGAAATAAAACAAGATCTTTTATCTCTCTGAAATGTAACAATGTCTACATCTTATACCATACAATGAATGATATTTTTCTATATGAATTGGAATGCAGTTAGGGGTAAAAAAAATCAGTTTCATTGTATAACCTATTTACAAACAGTGCTGCTGTTCATTTTCTGAATAAATTAGCTGCTGAAATTGAGATAATTATGCTACTGATTATGTTTGCACTCAGAATATAAGTTGGCAAATATATGTATTTTTTTCAAACTGAACACAGCAATTTCATATACCTTAGCAGCCAGGTGAAGCAAGGTCCCTTCTTCATTATTTAGTTCACTCAATACACTTTGAAGGATGTCTTTGTTATCTGAAATAGTCAGTTATTAATTGTTACATAAATGGATAAAAAATCATTTTTAAATCAGTCGGATCAAAGTAGAGTGTGGACGATAAAAAAAATAAAAATAATACTTAGCCCCCTGACCTCAGTATAAACTTCTGTATCAAAATATCTTTTAAATAGAATAAATACTCAACATGCTATTTAACATCTCCATCATCACCCCATTATGAACACTGGTAGTAGCAACTGGTTATTTTAACAACCCCATTGCCATAATCAATACATGTCTTACCAATTAATATATAGGTTTCAAGAAAGCACTTACAGCTGCTGAAAAAGCCATAAATTATCTGTCAGGATATTTCCTATTCCCCCAAATATACCACCACTTTTTATTGTTTAATGACAGAGTATAAGCAATTTTTCACCTGATACTGATGTGTATTTATTAAATCACACATAGCAGGCCAATTCTTAGTAAAGGCACGGAATTAGATAAGATGTTATCTAAGTCCGTGGTAAAGGCCAACATTGCCTCCAGAATACCAGGTAAAATGTACATGACTACATTTGTCTAACAACAGGGACTGGCAATCTAGTCACAATGATCTACCCATGTGTCCTCTTACATGACAAAGACTATTGCCTTGGGAAGCTGAATTGGTCAGTACAGATAATTATGTCCTTGGAAAGCTAGCCCCTGTTGTGCAATCAATTCAAATGAGGTCTGTATTTTCCCGTTTACCAGCTTTGTAAATTAATGGACCGTGAATGGTTTCTAGGTTGCTCTGACATGTCAAAAATAAGATACACTAATAATATAATATGTTCGCGTTTCAAATGTTAAAAAATATAAATATAGGTATTAAACTAATAATTTAACTTTCTAAATCTCCGAAAACAGTTGAAATGCATACACTGACATTTCAAAGTCGACTAAACTGGATGTAAAAATAAACGGTTGAAAAGGCCCTGGTAGGAAGTTGTCAAACTTCAGTACAGAATTGTTTTTTAGTTGATCATGCATTTTGGACGTATATGTGCATTAAAATTACTTTGTTGCAGTGTAGACAATATAGATCTGACAATATCTGCTCTGTCCAAATCAACTGCTGTTTTCAATTGCTGGGCAATGTCAGAAACAGGTTCCATGTCAGCCCTGCCTTCTTTTACAACGCATGTGTTCCAGTGACACGACACGCTAACCGGAAGTTTACAACTTTATATAGATTAATACGCCAATAATATGTTTCAAAAACCAAGTAATTCTAAGGAATATGATCATGACCATAACTATTTTTAAGTTTTAAAAATCATCCTTTTATTTCATCAGATTTGGAAGATAGATAGAGTCAATATTAAAAGTTAAGAAGAGGACTATATTTATGGAACTCCGGAATTGGAAGGATATAAACCGGAAATGCGCTAGGGCACCTTGACTAAGAAGTACGATCATAACATCATGAGTGCCCTTCTGAGACGTCTAGTGGTTCCTACCAACAAATTGACTTATTCACGATTGCTCGTAGCTCATTACTCTGCAAAAACTGGTTCAAAAGAATTTATTGAAGCCGTCGTAAAAGACAAACCTGTTGTCGTTTTCATGAAAGGCACTCCTGCGATTCCTCGATGCGGCTTCAGCAATGCTGTTGTACAGATTTTACATGCTCACGGTGTACAACACTACGACGCTCACAATGTACTGGCTGACGAAGACATGAGACAAGGTCAGTGGCGAGTTTCCGTACATATTGTCTACCAATTTATAGCAGAACCAGATTTAATGTATTCATCATAGCGGATTCTAAAGGGGGACGTGGGTCCGAAACTCATTATTACTTTACATGGGTTGGTTGCTCAATTTGTTAGAGCATCATTCTTGATTTCTAAGATCAAGAACTCCAATTCATCTGGCCTCGTTGCAATTCTCTCTCCTGCTATAAAATAATTTGCTTACAAGATTTATTTGTTATATGTTTATAATTAAGGATCTGTGTATCATTACAAAAATTGTAACTATACACATTAAATAATTTTATGAAAAAATAAATAAAGATGAAATATATCTATGATGAGATATAAGCATCAAAAGTGTTTTCAGTGTAAAAGATCAGCGGGACTAGACCAAGATTCGAACACTGGACTTCAGATTGCTATACTATTGCTCTAACTGAATGCGCTTTAACTGAATGAGCGACCTGTTCAATGGAAGTGTCCTGGCCCAACTGTGCTATAGTTAACATTGTATCCAAAAGGAAATTAAGGGAAAAAAACTTAAGTGGAAATGGATCCTTTCACAGCTTTTTTGGACTAAGAGAGAGAAATTAATGTTCAGTATGTACCATGCTAGAATGCAATGAATAGCTTTCAAGTTTGTACAAATAACCTTGACACAATTTATGAAGCACAGAAGAAATGTGTGAACATATTTGTACAACTTCTTCTGCAAACCTAAGAGGCTTATGTCACTGTATTTGGCCTGTAGCATATGAGGATAAAGGGCTAAAAAGATTGTTCAAATAAATGACCTTGACCAACTTACAAGGTCAAAGGGGTCAAATTTGTTAAAATATTGAAAAGTCTTCTTTTGAATAACCAAGATGCCTGATGGTCATGGTATCTGTCCTGTAGTATGGTGAAATGAACCTCAATTAAGTTTATTCTTATAAATGACCTAAGTAACTTTGAAGGTGATTAGTTTCAATCTTCAAACAACGTAGAATTTAAAAAAATCTGTGAGGTCTAAAGTAATGATAACTTGACTATCAAGTTTGTCAAAATAAATGACCTTGACCATCATCTTCTTGTCACAGGAGTCTGATAGCACTTTATCAAATTTGGTCAAAATGAAGTGCTATTTACTGACAATGAATGCTACAAGAGTAAAATTTGCAGAGTAATAATATTTATCATGTATGTGTATTAACAAATTTTACCTTGTAGGGCATAATAATGATAATGATATATACTATTATAATATGTAATCAAAAAGCATATAAAACAAAACAATTTCATATCATTACCACTTTGAAGGTCACAGCAGATATTTTTGCCAATATCAATTAAATGTGATCGATACAAGCAAATTGGACCACTTGTTCAATATGTTTTTGGAAAATCTAGATTAGTTTTCATAGTTACATTTTTTTTCTCATTGTTTCTTTTTACTTTTACTTTATTTAGGTGTGAAAGATTACACAGAGTGGCCAACAATTCCACAGGTTTTCTTTGGAGGAGAATTTATCGGTGGCTGCGACATTTTATTTGAAATGCACAAAAGCGGAGAACTGGTCAAAGAACTTAAAAAAGTGGGAATAGAATCAATGCTAGTCCACAACGACACAGAGGAAGGGGACACTAAAGAGTCGTGACTTTTACTACGGTTTTAATTAAGCAAATTTTGAGGATCAAAACGAAATTGTACATAACCCAAGGATTCAGAATGTCTCATACTTTGCAATGTAATACAGGTATATATTCTGTGTGATTTATTTGGCTTCAAACTATGTAATTGTAAAACAAACATTTTGGTTAAAAACCAAAAAGGAATAATATCACTCATCGCTCCTGTTTCCTCTGCTGATAATTTTATTTTGACATTGAGAAAATACTGAGAAATCCTAATGCAAATACACGGTATGTTAAAATTAAAAAATGTAGATAGTACATATTTCAAGCAGATAATTAATCTTTTTGTTTACTTATTGTAAGTAACTTGTATTTCACATACAAATCTGACTTATGTTAGTTATTATTGTGTAATAAAGTTAACAGTCTTTACCTGGCATACATTCAATTATTCATTGTATATAATAAACATTTAATTTTTGAAATTAATAAAAAAAATATAGTTTGAAAGGAACATATACATGTATAAAGCAATTTCCAGACTCAAATTTTATTTCATATACACTCTGTTGAGTGTTCTGTTTATGTAGTATTAAAATCATAAAAGTTACGCTTGCATATTTTGTGATTTTATTGATGAGAATTGGAATGGAGAGATGTTGGCATATGAAAACACTTGAGAAAGACTTTTCCACAGATGCATTAAAACAAATTTAAATGCAATAATGTTTCCCAACTTACTTTAATAAACAACATAAGATTATGTTAAGGATCCCTAGCCCAGTGCACTGTCTTTTTTCCTATACAAAGTAACCTTCCCTTACTTCCGCTGGGATATAACTTGAGCAGTCTTTGGCGAGAACCCTTCCATTGTCCAGGTAGCTCAATCAGTTTCAGCGATGGTATAATAAATGGAAATCCAGGGTTTGAATCCCAGTCTGACCCGCAGAACATTTACACTCGGAACACATTGATAATATTTTGTTTATTTCATCTTCATTGTGTTTTCATAAAAGTCTGCAAGGTATACTTTTCTTTCAAAACATGAATTTATTAGAGCTATAGTCATGTCAGAAAATAAGTATTGAATGAATGGTTTCGCTTTTGGAAGGCAGTGGTACAGGGATCCCTAACATAAAAATATAGTTTTTGTAAAACAGTTATCTCCCATGCAGATGTGGAATAGTATTTTATAACAAAAGTACAGGAGCATTTTTAGCAACACACTGGGGTAAAAATTGGCCTCCAGATTTCATTACATGTACTAATGAACACTGCCATTTTCTTAATAAGTCAGTGACTTTATTTTAATAGAGTTCCACTGCTTATGTAGGCTATTTCTTTAAATTTCATCAAACTTTCCTTTTTAGTTTAAACATATTTGAACTACAAATGGTCCTCAAAGGATTTTTATCAGATCTACGAAAGATGATCTTTTACCTTCTTTGCTCTTCATTTTACTTACAGGCACTATTACCCAGTCCCATGTTGGCAATCCTAAACGTAAATCATGTACATGTACATCAAAAGTAAACATGCAAAGCTATAGACCGAGGGAATTCTGCATATCACATTGGAGAAAGACTCCTACGTTATGTATGAGAAAAAGGGAGAACAAACCTTAACTGTCCAAATCCAAGATGGCCACCGGACTGACATTTCATTTTATCAATCAGTTTCAAAAGTGAAAATACATAACTTAAGACAGAAGGGTATTTGTATATTGAATTTGAGGAAGATCCCTCCAGTTCTTTCTGAGAAATAGCATTAGCAAACTCCAACTCTTAAAATTCCAGATGACCGCCTGTTGGCCATTAATGTTTTCTAATCAGACCAATAATTTGATATGCGTAACTATGGACCATAAGGAACCTTCATTTTGACATTTGACTAAGATCCCTCCAGTACTTTCTGAGAATTAGTGCTAACAAGCATTAACTCTCAACATTCAAGATGGCTGCCTGTCGGCCATCTTTGTATTCTAATCAGCCCTAAAATTGGATATTCGTAACGAGGGAGGGGAGCATGGCGAGAAATAGCGCTAACAACCTACGTATCTTCGAAAATTTAAGACAGCCCGCCTGTCGCTAACAAGAATTGTTTCAGGACGGATGGATGAAAGACTATCGAAGAAGGGTGATTTAAATGGACCACCATCTGTCAGATAATGGTTTGCTAAAATTCAAATATTTCATTCCCCAAAATAGTTTTTGAAATTCCCAAAATTATATTATTTACTTACCAATAAAAATTATCTTTTGTATGCAAAATTTAAATTTAGGGGCATATTTTGCCAATGAATTCTATTTATACCGGTATTCGTTTTATTTTTTCAATAAATGTTATGCTTGTGCTGAGCTGCTCACTGTAAGCCTTTGATGTTGCATATCTTGGTCCTTATCTTTATTATACAATCCTTATTGTGAATGTCCCGTCCAAATGCCGTTCGTGAAATCATGTTTGTTCCCAAAATTCTTGGTCCTTTCGGACTACTGTACTTCCATATCGCAAAACCATAGTTATTCTTTACTTTATAAAGCATATTATATTGTTTTATTTTTATTTTAAATAACTTACTGGTACCACAGACACGTGTTATCATAGCAAGGTTTTATGTGTCGACATTTAAAAAGATGCCAATTAAGAAGTTACCGTGGCACAAAATATGGGACCACAGTGGATAACAAATTGCATGCGCCATGAACAATATTTAAAACAGAAAATTAGTTTTTTTCATTTTTTTCATACACAAACGTAAGTCTTTATCTTGACCATTTAAACATACATATGTTAGATATATTTACATATGTACATAAATCTGGTGTGTTACTTTATGCTCATATATGATTTTAATTGATCTCTTCTCTTATAAAACAAGCTAAGCGCTGACTACATATTTACATGTTTGTCTGTCATATATGTCTACTCTTTTGTTACACAGCATATCTATGTAATTTACACAGAGGTGTTGACCTCATCCTTACTTTTTCTAATTTCCCCTGGTCAGGGACACGTTTCATCACATGACTATCCTGTCGACTTCCGTTCTTTGTTGAAAGCTTCCCTACTTGAGGTCAAATCGGGCTTAAGTTGCGTTTCCTTTTCCGCCATTACAATTCCCCGACTTACTTATATACTTACTTAAAATAACCTTGACACAATTTATGAATCGCAGAAGAAATGTGTGAACATATTTGTACAACCTCTTCTGCAAACCTAAGAGGCTTATGTCATTATATATGGCCTGTAGCATTTGAGGATAAAGGTCTTAAAAGATTGTTCAAATAAATGACTGACTTTATTGAAAGCTTCCATTCCATACTTGCGGTCAAATCCGGCTAAGTAGCGTTTCCTTTTCCGACATTACAATTCCCCGACTTACTACGGTATTTTCCCACGTTATGTTAGCTTCTCTTTCTAGGAAAACTATTTGAAAATATTTTATTGAAGCTTCAAAGTTCAAATATGATTCTGGATGAATATGTATCTTTGTAAAATATTTTCTTCAAAATTGACGAAAAGAATCCAGTAAAACACAGCTGATTTAGAGAAAATAGTTTATTCAACAGTAACACAACATAACAGAGCACGCATGTTTGCTTTAATACGTATATAATGTGAAGCGACAATAAATTAAATATAAATAGATAGACAATGTTTATATCACAGGAATGTACTTGTATATCATTTTAACTTAAGACTTGAGACGGCATTGTCACGACCACAGGCACCTGAGGAGATGATTTTGTAAACATTTTTCTTTGACATACTCGTGACCGAGTCTATATTATGCCAATTAATGCCAAACGTTAAATATACAGGGTAGATCTACCAAAACACTAGATACACCAATCATGTCGATATCATCAATATGATATTTTAAAATTAAATTCTACCTTGTCTACATTGATGAGATGAAAAGTAAGTGTAGGTCAAGATGCACCGCTCTGTAGAACACCTGGTCAATTTTGTTAGTCCGTTCTGTTCCTTTACTAAATTTCCAAATTTTTCAGTTGATAATATACTTATATTATCTTACATACTATCGGAAATGCTTGTTCGTAACGAAAAAAGTCGTTTAAAAGTTAGGTATTATAAATTGCCAAACGATAAAGCATGGTGTTAACGTCCTTCATTAGAATCTTTCTCTACAAAATTGCGCTTCTGTAGTGATTCCATACAGAATTCGATGAAAACGTAGTGCAAATGTTATCAAAGTTTAACTATATTTTGATATTATTCAATCATAGCCTTGGCTGGGGTCGATACCTGGATTTTTCAACCCGAGAAAAGATATATTAACCGAGGACGCAGTCCGAGGTCAATATATCTTTTCTCGGTTCGATAAATTCACGTATCGACCGTAGTTAAAGGCTACAAATGTTTTATTATTTTCAAAACAGATATGTAAACAATCTGAAAAAAAACCACAACAAAAAAACTTAGGAAGCGGGACGGTGCATTGTTTGGAAACACGTCATAATTCTATTTTTAGAAACCCCCAGTCCTTCAACAAAAATCACGCGCTCCAAGTCAATATCGGTTTTTGTCGGTGGACACGTGATGCACTCCTGGCCAATCACTTGTCGGGAATAATATGAAAAAATAATGAAAATTATCATATATATAGCTACATACATTATGAAAATGAAACCATCAACGAAGCGACAACAGAAGTCTGGGCAGTTCAGTTTTATAGTAATCCCGTTTTCTGAGCATCACCATAAGCGATCGATAATCTTTCAATAAGAAAAATAATGTGAAAATGAAAAATAATAATGATAATAAAGAATCGGACGATTTGTTTTGGCTTCATGTGATATGACTATACATTGGTCTCCTTGAAACAAGATCGTCGGGGTGTTCTGCTGACCTCAGAACTCTTCGTCAAGTGAGCAAGTGGAATGTTGTCACCCACGGAGACTGGTTCCCAGTCCGACTCAAGATCATTATCACTCGAAAGGCTTGAATCACAATTGCTTTCCGTGCTTGTCTGGGATTGACTGCGCAATCGCAGAGCATTGCTGACACGCAGAAGTGTTGCTAAGGTTTCTGTGTCACTTGAGTAGCCACTACTTTGTTTGACCGGTTCCATGGTATCGGAATGTGTTACATTAATCTGTGACCGAGTGATCGGAATAGAGTTTGTATTTGAAAATAATCTTCCGCGTTTCAGTTGTGTCTGACTAGGGTCCAAGCCAGTCAATGGCTTCATTCCTCGACGCTCAAGGTAATGTTCGGAAGCACATTTCTTTCTTATCGATAGTGGCCTGCAAGATTTATCCGAAATTGAAGAACGCGTGATCCTGCCTACAAATGGACTATCTGTGGTGACTGACTTCGACCGTTTGCCACATGGACAGGACGATCTTAAAGTTTGTTGGAGTTCTTCTATCCTTGAGTTTGCTTTCCGAAGATTAATTTCGTATTGTTGTAATTTCATTTCAAGTCGTTTGCTCTGAAATGACGAAAGAGATTAAGAATTAAAAATGAACAGATTTGTAGAACAATAATAATATATTGACTTATCAAAAATCAAGTGATTATGGATTTAACTTTCTGTTAATTATTGCTCAATTAGAAAATTGCCTAGAAGGGTTTCCGGGATCGTTTGCTTTACAGTGTAGGGACATATATACCACTATATTACCTACCAAAATTCAGTTGGCATTCATACAGGCCATTGATGACATGGACCGATTGTTGACGTCATCATTATTATGATATCATAATTGTTACGTTCGATACCGCTGACCCTCCCCGGGCGATGGCTGTTCTATTCTTTGTACACGATTGAACTAAATGCTGAATGATAATAAGTGTAATTGCCTAAATAAGGAATAAAGTAAACAATAGGTATTATGTGTATAGTGTATAAACAACATATTTTATGGTTAATGTAAGTTGTAGTATACTTCTGATGTATACTAACCTTTTCCACAGAACGTGTATTCGTTTTTTCACGCACCTTCAACAGAAAAATGAATATCTACATATATATATCCGAATGGTGTGTTATAATTGTGTACATATACTTGCTGTCAATTGCTCAACTCTACCTGCTCTTAATTATTTGTCCAAAGCGTAATCACAAAAATGATACCCACGGAAACTAAGTTATTTTAAGTACACTCATTCTCGATATTCCAGGGGTTACGCTCACTTTCGCTCTCTACAACCCTAGAAAATGATTTAGCAAAATTGAAGGCACGCGGCTAGCTATTTGATTGGTCTCAGGTAAAACATCCTGACCAATCGCTAGGCTGACACCTATCCTTTGAAGATTACATAGGAGAGACATCCTACTTCAAAGCCCGCCGGTTTTACCCCTACGCCACCGACAGATTCTTTTGATGTACATTAAAGGATCAAACTATTCTTATCTTCTTATCAACAAGGTGGTGCACTTTGAGCCGGACATATTCCAGGGCAGCCGAGAACAAAATTGAGCATAAACGCTGGAGTATCGAGGATGAAGTACACTATGAGATGTGTTTTCAATCAATTCATCGAAAGTATTAGCAACTGAAATTATGCTTTTTTAAGACTTATATATAACACTATACATACCTGTGTCTGGTAATCCCTCAACTGGTGAACGATCGTCTTTAGCTCCGACAATTCTGTATCTATATATAATTATTATGACACACGTATTAAACAACCATTTTTGCGCGTGATTTAGCGTTATTTCAATATTTATCCTTTATAGTTCTACTATAAAAAGCTAAAACAATCCATTGGGAAAACGTTGCATAAATGATCGCAATTTACACGATGTTAAATTAAAAACATAAACATCCGAATTTGATTGGAAATTTGGGTAATTGCATTTATTGATTGCAACATACTTATTATAATTATGTTATTAACAAATAATGGCATAACAGTGTTACCTTTGTGCTCCACAAGTCTCTTGAAACCCTCTGATTGGACAATCCCTGACAGCCAATCACGCTTTCGTTTAGATTTTTCTGTTGCTTGCCGCTCGGAAGGAGGAGATGGTTCTTCTCCATTGGTGTTCCGAATGTCCATAGTTTCCTTCATCCTTGTATAACAAAAGCCGGAAAAAGAAAAATATAATGCGGAAACAAGATACACATGTTCTTCAACGGCATGCATACAATTACATGTATGTCAGGCAATCACTTATGGGTTTGTAATTTTTAAACAAATTCTTAATAAAATTGTTTTATGTCTATATCAGTACTATACCTTAGCTTAGCCTGGGTTTCCAGTATTACTTTTGCATCAGGATATTCCACCAGTGCCTGCAACAGTACACAGTAACATGCATTAATTATGAAATAATCACAATGCTATTCTTAAAAAACGCCAGTGAAATCATACTATGCATTATCATTAGTTACAGTCATGTGCAACTTTGAATACATGGTGTTTTAAATTGTCAACATATTAGTTACATATTACAGTACTCACAGTAAGCAGGTCCTTCCTGGAAAGCCGTAACAGTTCCGAGTAACCAACGGCTCGGACATCTGCAGTTCTCCTGTCATAGATGTACAAAATATCATTGTTTAACTGTGATCAGGTCGAGTTACAGCCAAATGAAAACACACAAAAGAAGTAAAACAGGTTCCTTAATATGTACTTTTAATGTATAGTGTTGATATGTATATGTAAATTTCATTAACAATAATTGCTTTTAGCCTTGGTTGCTTACCTGTTTTGCCCGGAATCGAGCTTGAGCAAGCTGATCTCCCCGAAATAATTGCCAGCTCCCAGTGTTGCAACTGTCTGTTTCTGTCCCGTGTCAGCACAGGGGACAATAATCTGTAACAGTGTGAGACGTTGAACACTTTTGAACACTTAGTTATGAAATAAGCAAAGCACAGAAAAATATGTGACGTCAACACACATGTAACACAAAGACGTCAATTGTAGAAACCGAGAAAGCACCAAACTAAGAAAAACCTGAACGAACACCCAAATAAAAAAAACATGTTCTTTCGAACCGTAAGCATTACCTACGCTAGTGATGCCTGTCATATTACGTTCTATTTGATTCAGGATATAGTGTCGACTACCAACGATGTGATGTAAGAGGTGAACTTTACTTTTAGGAGATAGTGGAAACCCTTAGCTACATATTAGTTCACAATGACGAAAACTTTCACTACGTGTGTTATATATCAAGATGAACATTTATTTTAAAGAATCCCGTTTCTTTAATAAGCATTCCACGTTAAGTCATACTATCAATGCTATGATGGAAATGTGCTTACCTCTATCTTGCCATGGTTTATTATGTACATTTCGCGACCTGCAATGTAATAATAAGGGAATCAATGTAAGAAGAAGTTTGTAAACCTGTGGAGACAATGTATGGCACTTCACTGATTAATTCTATTATATCAGTCACCATGGGGACGACTTCATTATAGGGACAGTTGACGTTCATCTATTTAAATTAATTGTTTAGCCCACGAGCTTTAGCGTATCAAATATTCATTCGGTTGAACGAATGGGGAACAAACGGGCAATAATTCATTGATTCATAAATATTCAAATGATTTATCAATTTGTGCCATTTAATGTGAAAGAAATCTTTAACGATACATTGCATACAAGGAGACATGCAGAAAAATGCATTGTTTTATTCAAGATCGTACATACCTATGTCTCCAATGTGACATATGTAGTCCCCTGGAGAAAATATCTGTGGCCGAAGTTTTAGCACCAACTCCCTCAAAAGTCCCTCCTCACATTCTTCGAAAATGGTGACCTGCAATAGCATGTGCTATTCATTTTCAGACAACAAGGAATCCCAGTGACATTTAAGAGATTCATATTTCATTTCTTCATGTTTTCGTACATTCTTCGTATAGTTACTGTGTTTTGGATATTTTCATTGATAATAATATTGTTAATACTTTCTATGCAACGTCAAATAAGCATACGCAGAGCCAGAAGAAAAAATAGGGAAATTGAAGTAGCATTTCGCATTAGGTCAATGCGTGCATTTATCGACCTGATAATAGTGCACAATCGGACTTCGTCCTCTGCCATTTTTTCTCAGGCTCATAAAACCAAGCGGTAATCTCAAATAAAAGTCAATAATTGTATGATATAAATTTACATAGCAAAAATGCATGCTGTAACAAATCGCACGTCGTAAAGAACAACTTAAGTTGGTATCTTTACCACTCCTTTCTTTTTTTATGCCAAGTTGTCTCCCTTGATATATATCTTTTACCAATTTATATATCTCAAATTTTGGTTGATACAGAAACAGTGAATAAATCAATCGAGAATACATCAAACAATTGTTCTGTAAAAATCACTCAAGCCAATTTATAAAATCAACCAATAAAATCAATTCATTAAGGTTCAATCAATCGGACAACTTGTATGCCTACTAGTATATGGATATTAGGGAAAAATGAATCAAAAATAAGAATACTGCTGGAAATTGTAACAAGTTACACAATTTATCACACGTACACAGATACGAATAACGCTTTGGCATGAAATTTTAGAAAGTTTAGATACCATTTATATTTAAATTTTCCTTTTGGTTATATCAGGATTACGTCCATTAACTGTTTTGAAACTTGAGGCAGTCAGCAGCATGCTATTAATGTAACCTATTTATTTTTATGAAAGCAATCCTGATCCTCCATCTCCTTAACCAGGCAATCATCAGGATAATCCAAACAAGGACATATCATATCTGTGGTACCTTTTTGAGGGTGTCTAGATGAACCTGTATGGCGATCTCCATCTGTAGTCTCTCCGGTAACATCTGTAGCAACTGAGGTTCGTCCATGGCTTGATTCCTGTATCACAAATCAATGTTGAATCAGACATTTTTTTATTATGAAGCCAACAAACAACTACAACGAGCAAACATTACATTCTGTTACAACAATCTACCAGATTATGGAAAGTGAAAACAACCCTTGACAAGCTGAATCCAACTGCTAGACTTTTGTGGGTCCCCTGCAACATTATGGTTTCTCTAAATGAAGACATCAAATTTATCTGCTACCTTTCTCCCCCAAACAAAATCTTCGATTCCTTTGTGTATTTTTCTCTCAAAATTGTTTTTTCCTTCATGCGGTGATTCTCTAGGTAATCTACCGGATAAAAACTGTGATGGTCTCGTGACAGAGTTGTGATATATGTATGAGGCAATACACAACTACCTCTGAATACTCCGTAGCACCATCACCAAACGACAAATAGCCAAACAAACCTAGATACAAAACCACCGAGGTCACTCAACATCTGGTCTCGTATTAAAAACACTGTTTTTGATTCGATTCCTCAATCTAGTAATAAATAGTTGAAATTTTCCATTTTTCGGAGGAATTTTGAGAAATTGGGAGCTGAATGCCGTTTTCAATGTCTTAAGTCTTCAGCAGGTAAGTAGAAAGCGGATAAGAGCGCAGAATCCATGCTTCACCACGTGAACAAAATATGAATAGGGACAAATAACGGAGGTCATACCATAGACCACTTCATGATGACTGTGTTCAAGATAGCATGTTCAAAACGTTATACACGTTTTATAGGTGCTTAACATAGTTCACAGACTTGCAAGTGTTACAACCTTTTACATTTAGTGTAACTTACTTCCAAATAGACGTCGAAACATACCTTGTCCATGTGTAGTCGGCCCAACGTTTAACTCTGTTCTGTAATGGCAAAGGAACGTTTCTATGCCTCAGGTAAAACTTTATCTGGTCCATTCTGTTACGTCAAATATATAACAAAACGTTAAAATATTGATGAATTATTTTAGATAAAAAGCTTTATATATCCGAATATTTCCACTTAAAACGTAATAACAGCCACGAGTTTCCAAAAACTTCACTTGTTTTTGTTTATAAACTAAAGCCACAAATAATCACCATAAATAAGCTTAAGCCCAACGAGTTATATATTTTATGACGAAAGCAGTGAATAATCTTACACAACCGTGAGTTATCGTCAATCAACGTGACTAAAGCAGTGAGGTATCTTAAAACAACGTCACTAAAACCTTCACTTCTTTATCAAGTTATCACTCACCTTGCTTGAAATTCCTGTCTAGATGCATTTAAATTACTAATCACGTCGCCGACGTTGCCGACGACGGCAGCAAATATAAAAACACCAATTACAAACGTCAATCCCGTGAACACGTGTTCCTGAAACAGCCAATGACAAATCGTACTGATCATATAAAGCGTCGAAATGATAATAAACCACTCGTAGTATCGTGCCAATTATCTCATATATAAAATGGCGGAAAGAGATTGAATTAACTTTATCATTTAAATGGAATATAAAACCAACATAAGCATTAATAATAATCTCGCCAGTCTTATTTATTGATTCTTCATTTTTCAGGATAAATATATAAAATGAAATAACAAACAAGGCAAGCACTAATTGAATTTTCATTTTTTTTTCACAGGAGAACTAAAACGAACATTTCGATATATAATTGATAATAGCTTACCAAATTGGTCTGAGGCGGTGGTCTTTCTCCTATTGTGGTCAGTATAAGAAGGGACCAGTAAATACAGCAGATATACTTCCTATAACAACAAACCGGGTAATAATAGCTTTCAAAACAGAGACAGCACATGTACAATTTTCTTTTTGTAACAAAAGTATAAAATGATAACTTGTCTGGTGATAACGTTACATTTATCGTAGAATACTTAGTTAATACTCCAAATTGGAGACAGAAATTTTATTAGTATTCATAAATATTTAGAATTTGTACGTTTATTTTTTGGTAATGTGTTTGTTACCTTATAAAGTTATCAGGGTAGTTACCACTGGAGTAGGCCCATTCAGTAGATCCAATCCCCTCGTACTGTAAAACACATTGATTACACCTCTTTGACAACAAACATATCATCTGTTATATTTCCTGGCAAAGAGAATTGATAAGCTGTACCAGAAGAGAAAAAAATCCGACATATCACGTAAAGGTGTGAGGTTTCACAGCACAACCGAAATACCGCAAGATCATTCAAAGGGTAGCGTTGTACGCCAAAATATTGAGCATATGTTTGAGAATGATGCAAATAAAATTTTTAAACATTAAAATCTGTCATTTTTAAAAATAAAATATTGCATGATATATAAGCTGTTCGTTTTTTAAGAATCGTTTGCAAAAGTTCTAAAATGGTTTCTTATTGAATGCAACCACAATCCGATTAACGATAATTCACGAAGAAAAATGAAAAGCTTTTATTGAAATATAATTTGATTTGAATGCATTGGTTTTGGTATGCCACTTACCAAGGATACCATGTAATACAGACAACCAATCCAGTGGATGACCAGCACTAGATACAGGGAGAGCTTGATGGCCCGGACACAGTTAGGGTTCGACGTGCGGCTGTCGGACGAATTAATGGAAAGGTCTGTTTATTTTTATTCGTGATGTTTACATATATTTTATATAAATTTCACACAAGATATGGAAGTCGTTAAATCATTATTATCCAATCTTATTTAATCTATTATATAAATCGCACTTCTTAGCCCGGCTGGTTCTTGCTTTTAGGACATCAACCTTGGTTGTTACCTGGATTTCAATGGCGGGTCGATGAAGCTAGAAGGCGGTAACCATTCTGGAACACCTGCCTTATTCTTCTTGTAGGTTTTCAGGCGTCCCCTTTATTGATTAAAGTATTCATTTTTTTTGACATTACAATAAAAACTATTTCGCTGATCTGTAAGAACAATGAAATTTAAATAAAAATATAAGAGAATACGAAATGTATATTTGGGAAATTGAAACTTCAAAGTGGTAACAACAGAACAAAAAAACAACTAGAGAAAACCAAAGTGTCAACAAGACCATACAAAAACCTCAAAGCTAGGACAAAATATGAAAAAAAGAAAGATTTACATGGAGACCCTTTTAACAGTACAAGGAGAATATGACCAGGTGTTCCGGAAGTAAAAGCGTCTTTGCTTCATCAATGACGGCCAACATTTGAATCTAAGTCGAACCCAAGTAATGTCTCTTCCTCACATCAAGAACTCGGGCAGTGACGAAAAACAACACAATGCGCTCTAATGAGCACAATAAGAAACATTGACTTCATCTTCACACAAAGAAATAGCACATCTCCCTACGATAATCTGATGGTGACCTTAGAAGATTACGGAATTCATGGTATTCGGAATCAGCTCTTAAGTACCGAATCAACCGCGACATGTAAACACCATAGGGATGTAAATAACAAGAAAGGGAAAGTTCACCATAGGAAAGTCGAAATCGTCCCACCTACCGTACAGTTAAGTGGTAAACTGTTCAAAATCTGATCCCAAAGTCGATATAAAACAGCACATGAAACCGAGGAAATACTAGGCCAAAGGGCTTTGAGTAGTATTTCCCTTTCATCCACTTATGTATTTAATTTCTCTCTTTTGACAGTTTAGGTAATTGCAAAAATGCACAAATTTGTGGTGTTTTCTTTTGTGGCTCATGTTAACCCGTGATCAGTAAAATGTGATCGAGAACTATGAATTCAGTGCTGTGGGGTTGAAGTTGTGACATGTAAGCGTGGTGGCACTTTTAAGCGCCCCTTGATTAGCCCCAGTATCAGCGGGCGACATCGGCATATGAACTTAGACGTGCCTAAGAAGTGAAGCTTAAATCTAAGCAAACGTCTCCATTGATGTTTTCAAGCTTAACTACCTGTCAGTTATGTCGAAGAATCCGGAGACAGTGTGTGCCTTCAGTAACCTTGGTAACCGCGTCATGGAAATGTAGAATTCGTCTGGAAGAGAAGGACATATATAAACCAACGGAATTATATTACATGTTATTACGGGTCAGACATCACACAGTTATGATGGATACCGATATGACACACAAAAAAAGATAAAGAAAACACTATATTATCGGTAATGTAGGAATGTCATGTCAAGTTACCAAGGATACGTGATATAAAGATCTTAATCATTTCAACCATTTGTTGCATAAACAGTTCAAGGGGAAACAACTTAATGCTTACGATATTTCTGGAATCCGATACTTATGTGAACACAATTCAGCAATCCTGCAAAAAATAAGAATACTATCATCTTTACAATTATACCTGATTGAGTTTGCTTTGTATATCAATTAGCTGTACATAAAACTGTAAATAATTTATCAAATCAACAGCTCAGTACAATATCAAATACGCCTTCTTGAATAATTTTAAAGTCAGCAACATGAAAGGAAAATTTTAAACGTCATCACATAACGCTAACCTTGACATACGAAGACGACTGTGTGGAGAGGAAGGATGGACAAGACGTCCAATTTGAACCTTTTCCTTCCACGGTACCTTTCGAATACCTTATGGACGTCGGAGACCTGTAACATACACAATGATCTGAGACTATTTTCCATTTTATTTATTGTTTATTTTCTCAAAATTATTTTCGCATTTACTACCTTGATATTTCTCAAAATAATGAATATGTGGCTGGTACAATCAGTGGTTTAAATGTAATAATATTGGATACAGTTTGTAGAAAACTAGCTGCAGACTGTTTCATAAATATAAGATGGAAAAAGGAACCTTTATTTTACCATAGGCTTAACTAACGCTTCCACAACGATACTTTTTCTAACATGTAGATTAGAAAAGAAAAAAAACCCAAAACACTGATTTGTTCTTCTTGTTAAAATTATACGTTGTATTGTCTTTGCAATATCTTAAATGAATTCGTTACGTCACATTGAGTGACATTATATACACGCTATACATTGAAAATCGATGTGAAAATGTTACGATACTGCGTACGTTTTAGTCTGAGTATAGGATGAGATAGAGCATGTGACTGATACGTTACAACGGTTCTCCTTACCAGACAGCCATCCTCATAGTAGGTCATGCGACTTTGTACGAATATGTCGAAAAAATATACAACGTCACATCCAAGGTCCAGGACGGTGAATACCGTTCGTGGTAACACCTAATAATACAAACATTGTGATTTGTTGATAATACTTGATTCCAACTATCAATGATATGAGTCAGATGTAACCATCTATCTTATCTTATACCACCGATGTTATTATACTATTTTTTAATCTTATATTTCATATTACTTTTAATAATAAAAGACATTTTATATTGACTGTAATAAGAACAAAAACGAAAAAATTATATTGAATTATAATATATTATTTGCGGTTATGGAATTAAGTAAATATGCATATTGTACATTTCCTAATCCTTTGATAAATTGAATCATATTCTTTATTTTGTGAACGCAAACAGGTATCAGGAGACGTTGGATTATGGGCAAACGAATAATTTTCTCTTACATGTTCTCTCATCTCTGTAAAGCCAAGCCTTAATATGATAACGACGATGTTGTAAAGAGCTGCTGTAGTGATGACAACCTGTGGGACGACGAGGATATACTTATTGAAATTCAGAAATTGATAGAAAAATTATAAAAATATTAATAATAATTAATAATAATAATAGTTCGAGTTTCTTATATACCGCTTTATCACAACCTAGTTCGTAGGTCGTCTCAAAGCGGTTCGCAAATTATTATCTGTGGTTATAGGGTTTTGCAACTAGCCAATATCTTACTCAACTCCATTGGAAGCATACAGCCGGTGCTGCCATTTCGGCGCTCACAGCTAGCATTCTACAATTCTAGCACTGCCCAACCACGTACTTACAGCTGAGTAGAATGGAACAAGCGGAGTAAAGTATCTTGCGCAAAGATACAACACAGTGCCGTGCCGTGACTCGAACCCGCAAACCGCAACCCTTCGGTCACGCAGATACCATACTTTGAGGATGTGACAGAGAAATCTTCAACTTGAAGGGTGAATTTGTGGTCGTTTAACCCAAGGCTCTGCTGACGTTTAAATAACAAATACTCTCCTCGTGTGTTGGAGATCTCTCTGTCACATCGTTTTGGCATGGGACGATTCTATTATTATCCCACCTTGAACCAAATTGTATACCGTTTCTCTGTCATCTCGTTGGGAATGATTTCTTTGTCAACCCAGGGTATGCCAGATAGAACACGGAATGAAAACATACGATGACGTCACGGGAACAAAAATATATGAGGTAATAAACAGCTTTCGACAGGACAGGTCATGTTCAAGTCAGGTTAACAAAACAGATGACACATGCTGAAAACTATTGTTTTTAAACATTGCATATTGAGGATGAGAAAAAATAGTTATCCCCTAACTTAAGGATGTAACTGAGCAATTTCTGCCCTCGGGGTGATTTTGTTGTGTAACCCTCTGCAGAACCACGGGTAAGACCACCAAAATATCACGTCTCGGGTTGAAGATTTCTCTGTCACATCCTAAAGGTGAGGAAAGGAAAGTTTCTATTAATCACTTCTTATTAATTTGAAGCACCAAAAATATCTAACAAACAAACCGTTATCTCCAGATTAAGACTGCTTTGACTTTACATACCATCCAGTTATAGCAGAGGTTGCCGTCCGGGTCCCACACTCGTCTTGTTACGTCATTATGACGGGTTTCTGTTGGCTATGAATACAATTTACCAGGTTTTAATGTCAATGCAATAAATTTATGATTGCCCCTTTATTTTATATAAAGCAATCTTAAACAGTGCGTTATGGATGAGGCATTTTTAACGAATAGTAAAAAAGAAAGAAAGAAGAAAAACAAAGCCGTCTTCATAAAGCCACACCTGCGAATGAAAACCACAGAAAAAGTGCATTGGGCAATTGTTTGAGCATCAATATAAAACTAAAATTTAGTCTAAAATTAGCACCATGTGACAAATAGGAAGCTTAAATCATGTAGTTACTTACTTCCTGTTGCGGTGATTTTGAAGCTTTGTCTGTGTCTTTGCTGCACCTTTCCCCTCGCCCGTCTTCCACGGGCCACACCTGACGAATGCTGACATCCCCACGACGTTGTACAGCTGAGTGATTGTTATGGAGTATGGTATCCGTTGTGAGGGTTGTTTCCATCAATCCAATTTTTCGTCTGAAATGTCAATCAGTTAACATGCTCATTTTACTATTAATAATATCTTACTCTTGTATAAGATTTCTGAACTATTTCCCACTGCAGTTTTTAACTATTTGAGATTCTAAATCAGTGCCCTCCAAATTCCTGTAGTTTATTTGGCGACATGTGATTGATTTGTTTCTAACGAACGTATTTGGATATATTCCAAACGATTTATATAGTCTCAGCATTGTGGTATGGCATGATGTCTAAACCGTATATCAAATTTTGCTGTGTAAGCAGTTATGGAATACAGTTCTTCCGGTCAATTTCCGGACAAAGCACGAATGTCCAGACTTATTCCTATTATATTACAACTAGTTCACAATCGTCGGTAGTTTGTTCTCAGGTTGAAGCAATCAGTCTGAAGACAAATTTCTCTAACATATCTGTCGACGAATCGTGTCTAATCTTGACAATAACTTTGTATGTGAGAATAAAGCCTGTATATTCATGATGTTGCAATTATATCAATCAAACTAGATTTATTGGAAACATATGATGTCAAGGGAGGGACAACACACAATTATAAAATTCCTGTATGCTGTTTCTCAGCTCATGTGGGGGGATTCATCACGCCCACAAACAAATTGATACATACATTAGACCCAACAAACAGTGAAAAAAGAATCCCAGACTTCATTATTTCACGTTCATAAATGGTTTAAGTGAGCTTATGAGCCTCAACGTTTTTACTCGACAGCCCCATTACTTATTTATTGGGCTACACCTTTAGAATAGACTGGACTGTACATTCGTTTGCAAAGTTGTGGCAATTTTATGGTAAACCTTGCAACACATACATATCATTGTTCGAATATATTTTGTAAGGTGTGAAAATAAACTGTAAAGAAACGCAAGCTTCAAAGATTTGTACACGTCTTTTCTTTGATGGGCGGCATCACTTTCCGGATAAGCATTTAATATTGAGGTTTTAACAAACCCTGTCTAGGTATACGTACCTCATCAGGATTTATGGTAATATATTCATCGGAATGTTCTGAACTCGAGTAATCAGACATTACATGATACACGCATAGTCCAATTACCATCAGGCCTTATAAGTTGCACCTTGTTAACATCCCTTGACCGAACTTGTCATGTATTCCTCTGTTTAAAAATTAGCTTACTGTATTTCTCTGTTAATGTTGTGATAATTTTCCATGAACATCTGCCTCAATTCTTGTTTGTCTAGTTAGAGCCCTCACGTTGACATTTAATACGCTTGCGTTCTATTCTTACTTACTCTCCAGGGCACTATAGAACTTTCATTAGAAGCGAGAAACTTGGACAGCGTTCCTAGACAGGTCAATACTGCAACGTATATATCAAGTCGAAACGATCTGAGACGCGAAAAGCATATTCAGTTCAGTTACCAAAATGGATAAGTATGTATATAAGCAATTTTGAAATACAGTTTATAACAATAACTAACAGAGAAGTAATAACGATAAAGAAATTTGTCAAATTTTCAAGACACTCCATCCCTTGTCAAGACACTAAAGTTAAAACGTATGTAGCATAAAATACAATCTGTTTACTGTATATAGTTATTGTTGGATTCGTACGCTTATGTTAAAGTATATCCTTTCGACCGGCTGATAAACCGTCTATTAAAATGCATGGACAAAGAGAGTAAAGTAAGTAAACTGAAGATGTATATTTGCTTTGATATGCCATGTGCTATGTTTTGAAAACCGTGACAAATTATAAAATTAAATTATGCGATATAAGTATAATTGATAGCAAGGAAAATACTGTAAATATGGGAAATTAATCAATCCAATTTGACATGTATCTGTCGATTCTGTTATTGATAACAATAAGGTCAATTAACACTATAAGTTGAAATTGAAATGGTAAAATTCTTGTAAAGTATTTCAGTTTACGTTTGTTATATTAATAGAAGAATAAGTTTAAATAAACTATGTCTCACGCATATGTGAAGCTTGCTATGCGTTGAACCAAATTCCTGGTATTGATCTGAATGTCACAGATATACAAGTGAGACGACAGCAGTAAGAACTGTGCACATCTGCTGTAATCTGTATTTAAGTACGGGATGCGTCTTCACAAATGGTATCCATCCATAACAGATAACGATACAAAAATGTGAATAATTGTTACGGTTTGCTTTGCACCATAACACTGAAAGAGATGTCGTAAAATTCAGATGGATTTGCAATTGATTATTCTGATTCCTTACCTGCAAAGAGACAGACTAGTAGTAGAATTAACGACAGCAAATTAAAATCAAAGGAACGGAAATAAGGGAACATCATTTATACTGTAAGCGGACATAGTTAAGCGGAGTATTTTTTTCAGCGTTTTTAGAGCATTAATTATTGCGCTTACTTATGATTGTGCAAATTAAAGTTACTGTATATAGTTATATTGTAAATGTGCCAATGCATCAATGCGTTGATCTGTTGAAATTCGATTATAAGTCAAGTTTAACTACACTAAAAAAATACCTTATTATTAACAGTAGTAGTAAAACATGACATCATAATTGTATTACTAGACCAATATTATAAACCAACTTGAACTATTCAACATCATGTTTCCTTATGATTCACGTAGATATTACCAATGTAGCAAATAATACTTATATACTAACAATGTCCCAAATAATATTTATATACTAACAATGTCTCAAATAATGTTTATATACTAACAATGTCCCAAATAATATTTGTATACTGACAATGTCGCAAATATTATTTATATATTGGTTAAGATTTACAGTAATTTCGTAAGTTGGCTTATGGCATGAAAACATTTGCGACGATCAACTGCATTTGGTTTGATTTTTTAGTCTACATATCGAAACCATACAGAAAGTCTTTATAAAAATTGATCTCTCTCTCTCTCTCTCTCTCTCTCTCTCTCTCTCTCTCTCTCTCTCTCTCTCTCTATTATTTATATGGTATTGATAGACTCGAGAACCTGATAAGCAGGGCCTGAGATATAGTGATGATAACGTATACAATTAGATTCTACAATTTACATGTACTTTTGTCAAAAAGAGGTCATTTGTAAATTCGTTCCCCATTTTACCCCCTCATATCTTGGAATGGTTTCCAACCTGACCTTAGTTTCATGACATGTCTTATTTGGGCACTGCCTCAAGACAACCCCTGATTCTAATCCAACTACTACCGATGTCATGGCGTATATAGGAGTTGGCGGATATACAGCAGCCGCACTGCCAATATGGGCAATCAGATGGCTTTCACTGATAAGTCCTACTTGTTTGGCAAACATGCGTTGGGGTAAAGCCAAGACATGTCATGAAACTAAGGTCAGGTTGGAAACCATTCCGAGATATGAGGGGGTAAAATGGGGAACGAAATTACAAATGACCTCTTTTTGACAAAACTACATGTAAATTGTTGAATCTTTGTAAATAAGTTTGATGTATTGTGTAACACTAAAGCAGCAAATAATAAAACCTACCGAAAATATAGCACATATTTGATAATTTGATAATAATATGTAGTAGTTTTCACGTTCAATGCCTGGTAATTGTCCTTGCATTATGGTAGATGAGATACTAATATAATCAATCATTTGCTTACTAGCCAACTGCTATTTACTGGGCACAATGATACATACCACTTTGTAGTCTTTAAACTCTTCGGCGTACAGTAGATGTAATACTTGATTAAACGAACTATTGCCTGGCTATCAGGCAAGTACATTCTTCTAACAGATGCAGGGACTTCTACCAAATGAATATATTGTTTGTCAATTGTGTGTCAATTGTGTGTGTCAGGGGGTTGTAATATATCTAATTGTTTTAGTCAAATTATCAATCATTTTTTTTGGAAGCATGTAACACTTTTTTATGCATACATTTATTTTAATTATATTAACCTACTGTAGACTGTTCTGAACTTGAGGAAAGCATTTGCAGACAAAGGTTTTAATTACAAGAAGGTAGCGGAGTACACTTACTACTTATATATCAAAATATACATAAAAAGAATGTACCAACGTATTAAAATACTCTTTTCATGGTGGTCTTATACATTAGAAAGTTGAATTGATGTCTAAATAACAAATAACAGTTGTCGAGTGGCTTTTGTGCCAAACAACTGAGTAATTAAAGTTTTAAAAAAGGTATGAAGAAAGTATTCCTCCCCTGCTCACATTTCTACTCCCGTTTCGTGAGACCTGGTTAAGATACTAATAAAGAAACGTTGGGAAGTTTATTGTAAGGTTCTAATGCGTATTTAGGCACAAAATAAAGATAATTGTTGACATAAATAAGCCGGTATAGAACAAGGTTACCGTTATCTACTTGTCAACTATGTGCAAACATTTTCGACATATCATGGCGAAATAATTAGCACAGTTTTGAATATACAACATATAAACTTATCGCTGATAGGCACAATCATGCCCATTGTGAAAAGATTCATGTAGCACAACCAATAAGTGTTTATGTGACGTTTCGATGACTAGTACGGTATGTGGACTCTGTCACCTTGATCAGACAAATGACCAGTGCAGCGCATGTACACAAAGGTCACTGGTCATTTGTCTGATGAAGGTGACAGAGGACATACCGAACTAGTCATCGAAAGGTCACATGTACACACTAATTGATTGTGCTACATGAATCTTTTCACCATCAATACTTACTAACCTAAAGAAAATGTTTAGAAATACAAGAATGTCCAATTTAGCACCAATCCTTTATTCCAACATAATTCACCCTTCCACATCGTTGTTAGCAACGCGGTTGCTATACAAATTCAGCCAATCAGAGCGCGAGTTCGATTGTCGGCCATTACCTCCGACAACTTTGTCGGACATTGACACGAGGGTAAATACGAACGGCAGTGAAATAATGGTGTAGAAGTGCTCCTGGGGAACCTGCAACAGCGACAGCCGATATGCAGAAAGATTAGAGAACGGTGTGACATTTATTCCCTTTCCAAAACCCTAAAACCAACCTGGAAAC